AACTTGCTAATTGTGGAATCCAATTTTATCGAGAACCAGGTTATGTCTTTCTTGGGTGACACGTTTTCCAAAAGGGTACTTGAGAGCGAGTATGGCGCCCGAGTCACAGTTCACGACCGCGATACATTTTCGAAGCATCGAATGGTTTTAAAGCTGCGCGATTCGCCTAGGAGGAGTTACGTTTTGGATGAAGATTGGCAGCAGGAGTTTGTGAAGAGGAGAGAATTGAAAGAGGGTGATGAGATTGGAGTTGGCTGGAACACACCCTCAAATGTTCCTTCCAAAGCCATGTTCACTTTTTCGGTACTTAAACGGGCAGGCCAACCTGCAGCTCTTCATGATCAAGAATCAGTTTAATGATGTAACCTGTCTGTAAGAATTTTTACTAAATTTTTTTTATGTACTTCTGGCAAAAGCGCTAAGTAAAAATACTCAACTTTAAAGTTTAATATATTTGGTCTATGTGTACAACTCAACTTTTCGAGTATTCTATATCTCCCATCTCTGCTTGGATTTCCTTTTTTTTTCTTCAGTTCGTTATAATTTTCAATCTTTTGGCTGTTTGTGGAATTATTATTATATTTTCAAAAGAGTTATTTACATTAACACCTCTTGAGATTTCCGGTGTTTTTACAAAACTTGATGAGATATAAAAAATTATACGAACACCCTTGAGATTTCAAATTGTTTTTACAAAATTCGTTAATTGTTCCAAGGGCAGACCTACGTGGAGGGCATGCCCAGCAGCTGCCCGACCCCTTTTGTGAATTCTCTCTCTTGTGAGCTTTAGTTTTCTATTATCTCCCTCTTGTGGCTTTAATTTCCTATTATCTCTCTCTCTCTCAAACTGTATGGATCACGTTTTGAGTGGAAGGCTATACATGGTAATAAAAAAGTGGAAATGAAAATGACAAACAAAACAAAACTCTGATGAAAAATGCCGCATATATGCACATTACACGTCATATACGCCAGCTGACTGGAAGTTGTTCATTTAATGATCGAGTACTGGAAAAGTTACTAACGACCAACGTTCACAAACGGTTCACTGTAAATTTGAAATAAAATTTACTTTTATCGCCAGGAAAATCACCCTAAGCGTCTTGAGTTAAAATAAAACCAAACCCAACAAGGAAATGCGAGTTTCCTAATTGAAAAGGGTAACAATATGTTATAAATACGCACGCATCTTGCTCTTATTGTCAACTTCATTCCATCTCTCTGTTTTCTTTCTCCCCTGCAACTAGAATTTACCAATTGACTGGTTTTGTAGTTTGATTTCCTTCTGTTAATTTCAACATTAACAATGAAGGAAGAAATTGATCTCTCAGCACTCCTGGACCTAACCCTTGGCCTTCCTAGAACTATGGTTAACCCTTGCCCAGAACCAGACCAACTTTCCACTGCCCTCACTTTGTGTGATCCATCTTGGAATTACGACACACACCAGAGAAAAGAAGAGGAATATTTAGACCCTGCTCCTCTCAGATTTGCCCTTCCTAATCCGGAACACGAGAAAATGTCGGGTACGAATGATGTCAACAAGGAATTAAAGAAGAAGAAAAGGAACCAAGCAGTGCCGGATACGGTGAGTCTACAGCCTCAGGATGAGGGGCCTTGGAAAATCAGGAAGAAGCTGACAGCAAGCGACATTGGAAACTGCTCAAGGCTACTGATGCCGAAAAAATCTGTCATCGACCATGTTATGTGTTACTTGGATGACAAGTTTGCCGAAAGGGTTATGAGCGGAGATGGCATAGGAGTTATGGTTGTAGACTGCGACACAAACACCGGGCATCACTTGAATTTCAAGCTTTGGGGGTCAGCCGAGTTTTACATTCTCAACGGAGATTGGAGGCAAGAGTTTGTGCACAGGAGAGGCTTGAAGGAGAAGGATAGAATTGGGCTTTATTGGGACACCTCCAAATCCATGTTCATGTTTTCTGTTCTTGAAAGATCAATCCAATCCCAATTCCCTGCTTGATCAATTTGAGATTTCAATTATGATCAGAATTGTAACTAGCTAGATAGTTTATTCAATTCCTCAGTTTGAGACATTTGTTGTAAAAGACTTGGGTTTATCCAAGTCCAAGTGAATTCTATGAATCAAATCATACATTTTCCCATCAATGTTTTTTCTTTATACTGATTTGCTTCCTGTTACAAGTTTTAGTTACACAAATAAAACAATCGTTAGTGAAAAATTACTTCATTCCAATCCAATCTTGCTTTGTTGGCTCCTTTGCTGCCAGCGTTGGGGTTGGCAGATCAAGAAACGTCTCATAACTTGTGGATTAATTCCTCAGATGATTTCTGTTATAAGTATTCCAAACCTCGAAGACGCACCATTTTGCCACGACACGTGAAACTGAAACGGAATTTAGTTCTTAACTTTTTTGGTTGCACTTGGTGGATTGCAACACTCAATTTTTTTCATTTAGCTGCTGCTACTTCGAAAACAAAAGAATTTTATTACTCAAATTCATGATGATGCTGGAATTTGGTATTTCGGAACATTAATTCTGAATAATATGGCTAAATTTCTTCAGGAATCGCTTTACAAACCCAACAAGGAGAAGCAAGTTTTCCTAATTAAAAAGGGTAACAAAATGTCCTGTTTCCAAATCCAAGACTGATTTGGTACAAATCCTTATAAATACCCATACATTCTTGCTCTTATTTGTAACTTCATTCCAAGCATCAAGCACAAAAACTCATATCTCCCTTTCTCCCCATCAGCTAGAATCAGTCAATTGATTGGCTTTGTAGTTTGATTTTCATCTGTTAATTTCAACATTAACAATGGAGGACGATTATGAAACCTCAAAAATGCTAGCCCTAACCCTTAGCCTTCTTAACACTAACCCAGAGCTAGACCAAGTTTCCACTGCTCTCACTTTGTGTGACCCAACTTGGAATTACAACACAAATCAGAGCAAAGCAGAGGAATTAGACCCTGCTTCTCACAATGTGCCCACATTTCCTCCTAATCCGAAACACAAGAAAATATCGGGTACGAATGATATGAACAAAGAGTTAGCGAAGAAGAAAAAAAAGCTAGTAGTGCTGGGACCTAGGCCGAGTCCCAAGCCTCGGAGGCCTTGGCCCATCAGGAAGATTCTGAAGGCAAGCGACCTCGGAAACTCCTCAAGGCTGCTGGTTCCAAAAGACGCCGCCACGAACCATTTTCTGCGTTACTTGGATGACAAGTTTGTCCAAAAGGTCGATAGTGACGAGGGATTGGGAGTCACAGTTCGAGATTGCGATACAGGCACAAGACATCAGTTGACTTTCAAGTTTTGGAGCTCGGCAAAGAGTTACATTCTCAATGGAGAGTGGAGAGGGATGTTTGTGCAGAGAAGAGGCTTGAAGGAGAAGGATGAAATTGGGCTTTATTGGGATGCTTCCAGAGCCATGTTCATGTTTTCTCTCCTTCAACGGGCTTGAATTTGATGATCTAGTTTATTTACCTTTGTTCACATTGTTTGTGTTCTTGTATTTATTTTCAATGAATCACTTTTTTTCAAATTTTTAGAAATAAATTACAATTGTCCTATCAACGGGGTCTAACCTAGTGAAAAAGGGCATTGACTTGTTTTACAATTATCCTTCAACGGGTCTAACCATTTTCTGCATCTAAGTATCCACAATGCGCTTTCTAAACCACCTCCTTAGCTAAATTTTATAGAGGAATTGAAAACCCACCTCCAACCATGCTTCCTATTCAGCTCCTAAAATATGGAGACTTTTAGGAGCTCCTAAATCTGAGAAGAGAGAGATGACTCCTAATGGCTATCTATAATTAACTGCATTTTATATTTGGAATCAACTTTCCAGCAAAACACAAACACGTTTTTTTAATTTCAATTATTTTCGCTATAGGCTGTAGGTGTTTTGCAAAGCACAAGCAATTTTTTATTAAATTCTTTTCGCTGTAGATATTTTGCAACACACAAACACCATTTTTAAAAAAAATTTCTTTTCCCTGTAGGTATTTTGCAAAACAGAATCACTTTTTTTACATAATTCTTTTCACATAATTTATTGTTTTGACAACCAATTTTCCGTGTAGGTATTTGCTGTTTTGTATTTTTATTTTTGGATTTCATCTCTTGTTTTGTATTGTCATTTTCGATTGTATCTCATGTGTCTTGTACTTTTATGTTGCAGTGTACCCTTTTTCTTATATAATTATAATCCCAGTTTTATTTTTATTTTATTTTAAAAAAATTGGTTTCGTAGTTTATTATTTGGCAATATTCATTATTTGAACATGAACGTTTTATTGTAAACCAAAAATTAAATTAAAAAAAGTAAAGTATTTATGACAAAAAGAAGTGAAGCAGTTATGACTCTCCAAAGAGTTCCTAAAATAGATTTTTTACGTTTTTAGTTAAATTTTAGTTATGAAATAGAAAGCATGATCGTAGATGCTCTTAGTGAATTAATAAGCTGAGATAATTGGTTAGCCTTGCATTAATTTCACCGACATTAAAAATAATGGTCTTCAACAAATAATTAATCGGTACCTTAAATAGTCTCTCAATTAGGTCCACCGTCCCCATCCCTCCCTATCCTCTGACCCGAAATTAATTACTGCTGTCCGGAAATGCATCAAACCTCCTTTTGGTCGGGCCCCTAATCAATTAATGCCTCAAAATAACCTAAATTGGAAAGCTTTCCCATTCCGAAACTGATTTGATCAAAACTCTTTTGTAAGTCGTACCCCATTCTGCTATTTCAGAGCTTTGTAAAAACTTTTCGAAAAAGCACAATTTAATTAACACACAAAATTTTCATAATACATAATGTTTCACATACCCACAAGTTTTCCTCTCTTCCTAAATAGTATGGTATGTAGGATAAGCATTACCATACGACGACGTATGTGACGTTGACCGTAATTAATTGCCAACATTTTTACCTTATTTAGTCACTCTATTACATATGTATAATCATATTCACAGGCTATGCCCTCGAAACCAAGCAACTTAGCCCTATTAAGCACTCCCAGCCACCATCTTAACACCTTTACCTATCTTTTCCAAAGTAGGGTTCAAGTCTCTAGGGTGCACATTAACCCTGAGGCCATACTTCATGAACAATGTCAGTGACATCTTTTGCTCCACCCGATGGCCAGGAACCACTGTGAGCCGGTGCCTCAACAGCACGGCGGCCGCGATTGACTTCATTTGCAAGTAAGCTAAGTCTTTGCCTAGACAAATTCTTGGACCAGCATTAAAGGACACAAACTTGTAAGAATCTTGTGCCTCCATTTTTTGGCCATCAGAAGATAACCACCTTTCGGGCTTAAATTCAAGGCAATCTTCACCCCAAATGTACTTCATGCGACCAACTGAGTATATTGAATATGTGATTGCAGAGCCTGCTGGTACAAAAGTTCCACTTGGCAAAACATCGTCGTTTATTGCTAGCTTGGAGTCTTCTGGCACTGAAGGGTACAGCCTTAGGGTCTCGGACAACGCGGCCTTAAGGTAAGTCAGTCGGTCAACTTCTTCAAACACTAGGGGCTCTTTGACCCATTTGGAAGTGTCACTGCCACGTGTCTCCATCAGAACAGTGCAAACTTCAGCAAGGATTTTCTCCTCCACGTGTGGGTTTTGAATCACCAACCAAAAGAACCAACTCAGCGCCGTCGATGATGTGTCACGTCCAGCTAGGATGAAGTTGAGCGCCACGTGTTGGAGGAATGTGTCCGAGTAGGACTCCTTTTTCTTCATGAACCGGGACAACAAGTCATCATGTGGGACCCCATTCGAACCTTGTTCCTTATTGATCAACTCCAGCTTACGTGTGTTGATTATAGTGGATAAATACTGGTCGATGTGTTGGAGGCTCTGGCTCAAGCTGACTTCCATTCCGAGTCTGAGCCATTTTCTGAATTTCCATATAATCTCGGGCAAGATAAAGCGCTGCAGCGTGGCTTCAGTGGCTCGGTCGAAAGAATTTGCAAAGTCGTTTTCGGGAAGGCCCAGCTCCAGCGTCTGTGGGTCCTTTCCGAAAGCCAACCCGCAAATGTTGTCAAATGTGAGCCGAAGCATGAGGTCTTGAAGATCCACCGGCTTGGCTTCATTCTGAGCCGTCTCAAGAATGGGGCAAAACCTGAGCTCAATGGCGCGGCTCACCCACCGAGCCATGGCTTGGCGGAGGGTTCGGGTGGTGAATTCCAGTGCGGCGGTCTTACGTTGGAACAGCCAGGTGTCACCATCAGAGTTGAAGATCCCATCACCGAGCAAATCATGGAACACAGATTGCCAGGTGGGGCCCTTGGGGTAGTTGTCAAACCGGAGCTTCAAAATGTGCTCCAAGTTCTTGGGGTCGCACGTGACAGTCACGAGCCTTTGCTTGCTAGCCAGGAAGGGAATGGCGGAGGTGCAGGTCTGGTACGTGCCGCCGCAAGAGTGGAGATTGTCTGCAATCCAGTCGTGCATCCGGTTCGCGTTTTGGATCAGGCCCGGCAGGCTGCCCACTAGAGGCCAGACACGCGGGCCGTTCATGGACCGTAAGAGGATCTTGAACCACAACAAGTACGCAGCAAAAGCTGATAAGATCATCAGAGCCGTTGATACCTCCATCTGGCCACTGATTAGCAAACCCCACTTTAAAATTAAACCACCTCAAACTTGTCTAATACCAAAATTAACCCTCAAACCCCAGAGTAATTAAGGTGATATAGGAAAAAACCACAGCCAGGCTAGAACTTGAAAACTAATGCACGTAAACAAAAAAGAAGCAAAACCCAGATCAAAATGATTTTTAGAGATCTGAGGCTGCCAACATTGATATATATATAACGAAGAAGAAGAAGAGAGAGGCAGTGGCTTAAAGAAAAGGGAAAGGGAAAATGTGACTTGAAAAATGAAATGGACGGGAAAGAGAGGATGGCAATAAATAGGGACCGAGGAGGCTGTTGTGTATGAAATGGGGATAATACTGTTTTTGTTATCTTCGAGTCAATCACAAAATGCCACATGAAAAAATAAGGGAGACTTTGAAAAAGACAAAAAGAGAGAGAAAATTTTTAAAAGAAGTCAAAATGGACAAAATTGCCCTTATTTATTTTTGGATTTCCTAAGGAATCCTTTACATTTACATGTCTTTGATTTGAAAGTTGAGAGATTTTTCTGTATTTTTTGAAAAAACTTTGGCTTTTTCTAAAAATGAAATTTTTTTTTGTGGCTAAAACCTAAATTTACTAAAAAATTATCATGTATGACACATTATAATTGCCCAGAAATATAATAGCAAAATAATGTTATCCTCATCTCATATAAGTGTTTCTCCTGTTGTGGATTATTGTTTTTGTTTCACAATTTTTTTTCTCTTTGGATTTTTTTTTTTCATAAGGTAATTAAGGCCTTACAGTGAAAACTCCGCCATTAATTAATGCAAGCAGAAGTCGTTGGACATGTATATAGAAAGGAAAGGTTTATAAACCCACGAGAGATAGGACCACCCCAAAGCTTATAAGTCCATTAGCCCTACAAAAAACCCTTTTCTCTAACATGCATACCCTTTTGTCGCGCTCTCTCTCTCTCACCTAATTTAGAGGAAAGTGCCATTTCAACTTAAATTGTGGCATTGAATGGAGGAGCAGAAGTTATGGAGATTAGTTGAGCAAGCTGTATGTATGTGTGTATGCAGGGATGACCTTTAGTTTGGCTAACCTGGCCTATAGCCCAGGTTTGCTTCTTTTTCACAAAAAAAAAAAAAAAAAAAAAAAAAAAACATCAGCTCACAATCGTCATACTTTTGTCTCAACGCTATGTTCTTGTGTTTGCGACTTAAGTGTGTAGGTTTTAAGTTTGATTACTTATGATTTATGTTGTAGAATAACAAGAGTGAGAACTCTAATCATACATAGGTCAAAACCTTCCCTCATCTTCCTTACAAGTATGACGATTGCGACTGACCGAAAGCAACAACACTAGACATGGTTTAGCAAAGCATTGCCATTATTGTTCAGCAACCTACAAAAAAATAAAACCAATCAGAAATATTTAACTACATTACGATATTTTACAACAATTAGACGACTAAACAATTTTCGATTTAGCAAATGTTCTATCGTGATGATCCTGAAAGGTGATCTAAAATATGAGGTAAAATAATAAAATTGCATTGTAGAATGAGAAACAAATAATTGTACCGCTCATTATGAAAATTTTGTATAGGACAAGTAGTTCTTTTCAATTTTATTTTTCTCTTGCTTAGATTTGCAATTTTGTTTTTCTGTAATTAGAAGAAATAGCTGGTTTGGTTGGGTGTTGACAACCCCATGCATTTATTTGCAGTACACCAGCTTTTACGGCGTCGCTTTATCTCCAAGACAGCAGTTGCCATCATGCATCCATCCAATAATATGTTTTGATTGTCCTTTTTCTCCGTATAATAAATATGAGACTCGATGATTTTAAGAAAGTTTAGTGCAAATATTAAAGAGATTTTGCAGACCCAACTAATAGAACATTAAATACTAAAAATCAACAAAATTATATAATAATCGAGCTTTTCACCGTAATTTATCGAATAATACACGTATTATACTCGTCCCATGTTTTGTCAACTATAGAGGCTTCTAAGTAAAAGTTCTATATAAGAAATCACGTAGTGAAAATGACAAATTTGGTGGTGATAGGAACGTGACGATTTAAGTGACCTAATGAAAGAAGGCACTTTTTCATTAATTTAAATTGTCTGCACCGAATATTGAATGCATAAATTACCCAAATTCAATATTAAGTTGGAAATTGGACTTAGCCTATTAATTATTAGGTCTCCATCAAAGGCTATATCACTCCCCCAAAAAAGAAAAAGTTCTTTAAAGAGTAATGTCATATGGACCATACTTGTACAGTTTACGTTTCCCAAAAAACACCTAACAATGGCTCAAACTCTGAGTTTAATACTTTACTAGCCCCTTGATACGCATGGTGATCAAAATGAGGTTATACGATAATATTTTCAGTCTCGTGCTATTTTGCAAATCGTAAGGTACTGAATTAGAATGTCTAGTGTTTAATCTCTGATGACAATCCAAACCAAATCATGCATGTCAAGACGAGGTTTATACACAAGAAATATTTTTACAAATTTATAAATAAACTCAATCCTAGACATATATTTATAAAAAAACCCAAGTACTATTTAAACATAGAAACACACCTAAAATCAACCCAAAAGTCAACTTTTTGGGTGTGTTTATAAATGGGTTTTGAGTGTGTGTAATGATGAGTTTTGGGTGTGTTTATAAAGTGTTTTGGGTGTTGGGTTGTTTTATAATTTCAACCTCCATTTTGGGTGTTTTAGTGAAACTCCCAAATATTTTCTTGTCAACCAATCTAGTGTGCGTTCAGACAATCCAAATTGATAGTCTGAGAATATAGATCTGGCTACCAAGAGCAAAATAACTAACAAGCACATGCAAACATGCATATAATTGAGTAAAATTGATCATACACAAGTTCAAAAACACATGCCTTGCAACTTTCATAATTTCAAACTGGTCCTGAATCAATCAATCATTCATGACATATATGAACGTGTGTCGTATTTTGTAAATCTGTCAAGGATTTGGTTGCTTTCGGGAGACCTTGTGCCTCATCAAATCTTTTTCTCTTTAATATCTAGTGCGTCCCCAAATAATTGTGTCGTAGGGACTCTAGGTCGCTAGCCTCCCCAACCCAATCAAACGCTAACATGCCTGATTATTTCTACTTCGGTCGTTATCTGGGCGGAGATCGTAACAATCGTGACATAATTGAGTGAGACCATATATAAAAATCAAAAGAAAGGGTCAGGACTTTTGGATTGGTTTTTTTAGTACAAGCGATTAGGGGTTTCGAATCTCTGTCGGCATGAGTAGAATATTTTTATTTTTTGGTTTTAGTACAAGCGAGATTGAGGGAATGGGGGTTTACACAAGTATTACTCGAGAATGGGGATTTCAAACTATACAAATGAAAGTAGAAAAGCTCAACTAATTGAACTATAACACTACTAACTTTGGTTTTTTGTTTTAGTGTTTTAAAGAAAACAGAGAAACATAAATGGAAAATGTTAAAAATGAAAATTTCGGAAATTTTTATATCGACTATTTTCGGTGCATTTAAATCCTCCAAAGTATTTGACTTTCAAAATGCAATTCTAGGTGGGGGACTCGGGGGAGCTAGCAGCTAATTAACTTGTGGAGCCTAAACATTATCAACTCGGATGGGACCAGGGTGAGGAATTGCAACTCCAATAATAGAGTTTTTTTACCCTATGTAAATACTAGAGTTTCTGTTATTTGTATTATCTCAACTCAACATCTAGCATACATTTTTTCATCGATTATATATTATTGGAGTTCCTTAGGATTCATAAGGTGAGAGGTATCCCAGATTGTTAAGGCACATACACCTGTTGAAGGACTTCTCTTTACACATCATCCATCACTTCACATCTATTTAAGTTGAATTTAATCTTGGACATCAACAAGGAACCTGATAAAATCTTAATTTTGGTGAAATTTAAAAGACTTTGATGAAGTTTACAAATTTAGGGGTATTCATAAAAATTGGTTATTCAATTAGGATTTTCGTAGAATCTATGAAGCTCATGCTATATTGAGGGAGGGGGCTTTCAACACGGGACATTAGATACATTTTTTAACCACTTGAGTTACAAGAGAGAATTTGAACACAGGACCTCATATGCAATTTTTAATCACTTGAGCTACAAGCCCCTTGCAAGCGCCAATATTTGATATTAGTTGATACATAGTCACGTTTTTACTTTAAACATAGCACCAACGGCACATTTTAAGTCACTTTTTTCACTTTCTTACACTCATGTTTCTACATTGAAATAACACCAAATGTTTATACTAGTTGGCCCTTTTGAACATATATGCTTGATTTTCAAATAACTTTGTGGAATTGGAGAGAGTTTCAATAAACTCTGCAAAATTCTATCGCTTAAAAAGCTCTGTAAAAATTCATATAAATGTTGAATCCACTACAACTCAAGTATATATACACTGAGGAACATGAGGTACCTAAACTGGAATTTAGAGTCCCTCAATAATTTTCCAACAAAGAAAAAATACACATCGAATTAAAAACATCCATAAGTTTTTCATTAATTAATTGTAGATTATATGCTCTTATATAGGCACGACTCTGCCTTGAAACCAAGGACCACAAGAACAAGTTATGTTGGAGATGTAGTCCATGGCAAGTCAAGCCCTGTAAGAGCACTTTCACCCATTTGCCATGGCAAATTATAAGGGGAGGCAAGGGCTGTTACTATTCATGTGAATAGTGACGGCCCTTACAAAAGGCTTATTGTGTTTCCACTCATTGTCATGGCAACCCAAGGACAACCACTATTCACATGAGATATGAGAAGATAAATTTGTATAGAGTTTTGGTGTGAGAAGTAAAGAATATGACTAGATATTTATGTAAAAATATTCTAATTTGTTTTTTTCAATTTTTTTTGTTATTTAAATTTGCTGCTGACATCATTATGACATCACTTGCCCAGTCAGCAGCACCGGCTGAGTCTGCCTGAGCGCTTATCTAGGTTGGTGGGCCCCACGCCTTGCCTAGGCTTGCCTTTGCGCGCTAGAGCTGTCTTGTGGGCTAGACCCTGTCCTGCTCGGGCAAAAGGCCTTCCGCTGGAAGTGCCCTAAGCAATCAGCCTTACTCTAGCAAGAAGGAAAGAAAACACATGTTTCTCTTATGTCCTCCATGTTTTCAACAAGGTTTCCTTTTCTTCAGCAGATTCTAGTGGAAGCTCCACCTTCTGTTTGAAACGTCGTTTCAATAAACCCTTTTTCCTCCATCCCTTCAAGCTTTTCCTGCAAAGTTTGTGAAAACCTAATCAGCACCTGCCACCTCTTACCAAGCACCTGAGTTACTTGCAGGCTCAAGCTCCCCATTTGGAAGAACATATATTTCTACAGAAACTTACAGCAAAGCTCAAAGCTATTAAACATCAATAATTAAAAGCATAGCCCTTCCATACTACCAAATGTTTCTGTTTCCTGCACATATTTTGTTCTGATCTGCCAGGTTAAAGAAGTACCCGGAATTCACTGATGGCCTCACTGTACATGTTCTGGGTAGCCAAACGTCTAGCGTCTCATTTACTTGAGTGATCTTTGGATAAACAGTTCAGCATCCCACATATCACAACCAGTATCCAGGATGCTTCTAACCATATTGTAATGAAAGTCCATGAAGCATTTGCTGCTATTTTTTGTACACAGATGACAAGCCGATAATTTAAATTATAAAACAAGGTCATTGGCACTAATCGAATCCTAATGAGAATATTGCTTCCTAACAGTATGAGCTGGCAAAAACATGTGCCTCACCCACTAGATTCAATCAAGATAATATAATAAAATGCAAGATAATAAACATTAAGTGTGGGGAACATATGCAGACCCTCTGAAAACAACTAGAAGCAGGACTTTTTGCTTAACTACATATGTGAATGGAACAAAGAGATCCTTTGTAATGTTGAATAAAACCTTCAATGCAGCCATAACAATTTGTCTTTTCCTACTAACCCAGTCATCTCTAGAACCTTTCAGGTCCACAATCACAATTCAGGCTATGAACAACCGCAGTATATTCGTTCCTTGTTTAAGGATGGGATTTTCAGTCTAGAAACGTTGTTTGAGAACCCGAAATCCCTTAGAACTTATAGGCCTTCAAAGTTCTGCCCAATATACCATTCTGACTTCCATTGAATTGAATAAGAGGATTTCTTCTATTTCTGTGGGTTGACTAACTTAAAGATAACAAAATTTTGGAGAAAGAAGAAATATTGCATAGGAAAGTTTTTATGAGGCAAGTATAAAGTAAGAATGATAGCATACCTCAAGTATCATAGCCCTTGATTTGTGCCGCAGAACTGTTGCACTTTTACTCAAGCAGCAATTATCAGGGGACCAGTACTTTCGTTTCTCTAGTTGGCCTGAATTTTGATAAAGATGTCAACTAGAAGGCTTACTATCACATTTACATTCTTACAACTAGTGACACACCTGATCAACAAGCTAAAAACCTGTCTATTTCCAAGCCAACAATGAGATTGGCCCCTGAGCTACCACTATTTTACGCCGCGTCAGTCCATATCACATGTGAGAGCAATCTCAGAAATAGTCTATGCAATCTTATAAAGCATTGAACTTTGTAAGGCCTTAACATGAGATAGGCAGAGCGAGGCAAGCTGACAATTTGGTCATTTTTATTTAAGAAACTATTAAAGCTTCAAAATACGAATCTGCAGTTCTCTGTGCCTGCAATGCCCAAAGAAGTATACTGAAGAACAGAGAAAAATGCTACAAAGAATATGACAGGGCTTGCATACAAATTAATTAATAAATAAAAGACACAACAACCACATGTATCACAGGTTAACTGGAGAGAGCAAGTTGTTAAATTAGCAAAATAAGATGCACAATATCAGTAGGATTTATCATCTGAGCAAGTGCTTAGGTCCTGGTGCCTCTTAGACTGGCAATGGCACATCCAAAAAAAAAGCCAAAGAGGAAAATGCAGAACATGCATCCGCAAATGTGGTGCCTCTAGCATCTCCCTTTCCCTCTTCAACTAGCTCCTTTCATCAAAGCTTCAACAACTAGACATTAATAACTATTAAATAACAAGGAAACATCTAAAAGAGGGCACAAAGAATGGTTGAAATGTTTAAAGTTAAACACCTCTGAACAGCCAGATTACATAGAACAAGCCCATCTTCTATAATAATACAGAGAAATTGAAACTTGTCAATGAAAGTTCAGTAGAAGAACGAAAGGGGTAAATACTAAACAATAGTTGGAAACATCAAACAATATAACTTTAACTCATTAAATTCTCTGAATAAATCATTTATAAACAATTGATAGACATGCTAATTAGCACACAAAAGAATGAGACTTGACAAGCTACAAGATCATTTACAAACAAATCAATCTACGAAACAATGTTACAAGAAAATGTGACTGATTCTGGATGATATCAGTCAATTTAATCCCCCATCTACCAAGTCCAACTAAATTCTTTTGGGATTAAAATCCTCTAGCTGAATTCTGCCAGACCTCAACAGTTTGCTGATCCTTCCGGGTCATGAACATCTTGTTCCCTCCAAAAGCCATGTTGGTTATCCTGGAACCTCCCATATCCTTCATTCTCCCCATTAAATTCTTCCTGAAGAGCCTATCATCCTCCATCCCATTTTTACTGCTCTTCTTAGAGCCCACCACTACCTCTGACCATAGCTCTATGTTGCCTCCCTTACTACAAAACACTTGGCTTCCATGGCTTTCAATCTTGCACCCAGAACCTTCCTTCTTCCCATTAACCACTTTCTTCCTTTCACCAAGAGGAACCCATGGATTCTCTGCACCTATATTTCTCAAATCCGCAAAGAACATCCCGCCTGTATTCACACCAACTTTGAATATTGCTGATAAGTTATCAGAAACTGTGACATCAGAAAAGCAATCAACATTCTCCTTGATTTCCCAAACTACATTCCCAGACCTTGTATCCCAAAATTTAATGTTACCCAATACTCCTGAAGGTCCACTGTGAGACCCAGACGCCATTAACAGACCATAACCCGAAACCCAATTCAATTTCGTGGCCGGTATTGCTGAATTAATCTCGGCACCATAAATTTCATAATGACCAATCTCATTAACAGGGCTCAAGCTATTTAAATCATAAACCATAATGGAATTTGAGTTCCTCCGAGCTGATTCGAAACTAGCGAAGAGAAACTCAGGTGAGGACCCAATTCCTTGCACTGTTGAGCCAGTCTTCGTCACATTCTCCCAATTGAGAGTCTCCTTCACAAACCCGTTTACAAGGTCAAGAATTTGGAGCCCCGAGAAGTCAGTTGCCCCCACCGCGGCCAACCTCGGCGATATCGCTAGCATCGAATCGACGGCGGTGAATTGGGTCAAAATCGTCGACTTTTTCCTGAGCGACCAATCAAAAGACGTGATTTTACTGCCATGAGCTACATGGACCGAGCCAAACGGCGTCGTGGCAATTGCAGACGGCGAGTCTCGGCCATTCAAGGGCAAAATCAACGACTTCTCGAGGTTAAAAGCATCAAAATGAGATGGGTTCGATAGCGAATTCATCAAAAACGTTTCGATGCCATAAAATTGGGATTCGAAAATTAGGTCTTGCAGGTCTAAAGCTTTGGCCTTTGAGGGCAAATTACCTGTTCTGAGAAGCGACAGGAGAATCGAGAAGAGCTCCGGGTCTCGATCAATGAACGGCGGAGCGAGTTGAGGTGAGGCTGACTCGGAAATTCTGGAAAAGAGCGAGTCCGGGCCGGCTAGGTTTAGGGTTTGCTTGGTGGTCTGGAAGAGCTGGCCTCCCACGTCTATGGTCGCTATGTTGGACTCTGCCTTGATTTTTTTAAACCCATTTCTGGGAAACGCCGATTCTGCTGAAGGTGGCATGAATTTGAGCATATTTCCCGAATTGCCTATGTTCCTCACCCACCCAGAAATGAAAATTAGTTAGAGGAGAAAAAGGTAGGATTGGAAAATGGGAAAAGAGCGGTGCAGTGGAGGTTTCAGTGGTGGTGGAGGAAAATGTGTTGTATATAAAGGGTTTGGGAGTTTTGGGCCAAAGAGAAAAGGTCGCTATGAAGCTGATTACTTCTAGAAGGTCATACCGCAGAGGTTTTCTGATTTGTGGTCAACTAAAGGAGGTGGTAAAATAACAAAAAATCTTTTTTTTTTTTTTTTTTTTTTTTTTTTTTTTTTTTCTCTGCAGCCACCCAAGTCTAAATTTTAAATTTCTAATTTCACCATATGTTTCGGCTGCGTTCACATGTGAAGAAGTTTCCTATTGGAGGCATCGAAGATTTGCAAGTCTAGAGGTCAATGAAGAGGGGCAAGAGAATCTTGGCGGCACACGTTGTTTAAGTGGGCAATCTGGTAATTTGACTTGTTGTTTGGAATAAAAGAAAATAGCTGTTGGAGCCGTCCAACTTGGACCGTGCAGTGAAAAACCTGGTTTGGTTGGAAATAAATTAAAAAAACAAAAAAATAATGGCAAGTGTTGTTGGTTCAAAGTTGAATTGAAACTCAAACTAGCAAGAATTTTGAGTATTGACCAATTTGCTCTAATCAGCTCTCTTATTCTCCTAACATGAAAGTAATGGACTCTTTCCATCTGTTGTGAGTTGTAAAGTACCAGCCTTTTCCCCTGGAGAGAGGAAAAGCATCTGCTTATCGAATATGCCTTCTAGAACGGTTGTTATATCAATTAATCGGTTCTTCTTTTATAATGAACAGAGAAAGTTGTGGATCGAGAACTTAGAAATACGGAATTGAAGAATTGAAATCGGATCAACTTCAAAACTCCTCCATGCACTTGTCCATGAAATTGGGAAATCACTTTTCGGGTCCCTATATTACTTCCCAAAATAAAAAGCTGATGGTATAAATTATAATTCAAAGAAAAATGTAGTCTCTTAATTATTTAGGTTTATGCAAATTCATGGTTTAGAGTCCCGTATGCAAGTGATTTTAGGAGGACTGGAATATAATCACTTCCAAGTGATTTTAAGCGATTATGGAAGAAGCGAATCACTTAAAACCACTTAGTGACCTCAAATCACAGGCATAAAGTGACTACAAAATATCATGGTTTGCTGAATTTTATAATACTAAATGAGTTTCAGCGTGCAAATAGACATGAGCGTCATGAAGAAGATTAGCAGTTGAACCGGTAAACAATAACATACCCTGTATATTCCAAGAAAAGTCATGAAGCAAAGAGGGGTCAAAGATAAACGCAACAACATTATCAATTAGCAGTCCACTGTTATTTATTAATGTAATCCTTCTTATCTACTTCTATTGTAATTTAATATAATACATCAAACACATTAACCTTCCAAAAGTTGACACTAATCTCTGTGATTTTATACTATCCATATCCATACTTTGTCTCTGCACAGCTTCTGAGCTTGATGAATTCCAGGTCACCATGTACAAAAACAGCCTTAGACCCGGCTCAGTCATCCTGTAAAAGACTTTCCAATCTAAAACCCAAAATTTTGTCTGTAATTTGAGGCCAGTGTAGCATTAGTTTGGTACTTGATGTCAATCCAGTTTGGAAAACTAAAATCCGTGTTGTACCGCAAAATTAGAATTCAAATGCTCCACGGGCTAGGGAGGCCTCAAGTGAGACGCATACTAGCTAACTAACACCTGGCTGCATCATAGGGAAGAACGACCAATTCTTTGTCGGGCCATTCTCCTTGGCATCAACCTTCTCATTTGCCCACCAGTCAGAGCCAATAGAGTTACCAGAATCTCCTCCATCTGGATTGTCAAAATTAAATTCCTTGACAGAACCAAGCGTGATGGATCGCTGCTTCGGATGCAGTTGTGCCTCCTCCCCATCTGCCACGGCTTTTTCTGCTGCATCATTGGATGTCTCACCAACAGGGCAAATAGAACTGCTTACTACTTTACTAGGATCTTCTTCGCTTTGGGCCTTCTCTGCATCTTCTAGAGATGTTGATACAGCTTCAGCTAATGCCACTGGCTTGTTTTCCACACATCTGATAACTTCTTCAGAACTTAACTCAAACGAAACTCTGTGGTTGATGGAAATATCATTATTTCGACCTCTATTGTTTGATCGTGGATTTAATACAACCTCAGGGGTTTGAGGCTTTAGAAGAAAACCATCAGAAGATGTGGACTTTGCACCATCGGGAGTTACAGAACCAGATCCTAGTCTTGAACCCCAATCACGGGTGGAGAGAATGTCGAGGTTCAAGAGCTTGGGAGGATCACCTGTTCGGAACTCCAGAAAATGATGACCACGAGCAGCAAACTCAAGGTCGGGGAAAGGAGAAGAAGTACCAGAACCTGAGATGCCTGAACTTGGTGATATAAGCTGACCCACTGGGCTTCCAGGGTAAAGTTGGTAAGATTGAAATTCATAGTGAGACAATGGGAATCTCTGACCACCTTCACCATTCCGGAATTGAGGATCAAGCAGCTGAGCAAATGGAACCTCAGGTGATGAAGGTGTAGTCAAATGAACAGACTCAGGAGGAGGAGTAAAGGGAGCAGTTGATGGCTCAGTAGTGAAGGTTGAGAAAACAGGAGGCGAGACCAACTGGGTTTCATGAGCATAAGGACCAATAGCGAAAATTGAGGTAGGGCCACTAGGGGAGTACATGCTGGCAGTGAGAGAGAAAAAACCAGCTGGTGATTGTGTGGCAGAAGGAGGTTCTGATTGAAGAAATGATGCAGGAGAGGACGGAGGTGCAACAAAGGGAAGTACAATGGAAGATGTTTGGATTGGATTTTCAGCTCTAGGAGCATCACCTCCACGGTCTGTTGTTTCTGGGACAAGGACAGCATGTCCAATTCTCTTTTTGTGTCTTTGAAATCCAAAACACCAATACATGCTCCACCAGCTCCCCCATCTTCTTTTCTGCATTTAACCAAAGCTCATGATTAAAGCAAACCTTTAATACAATAAAAACAGCATCAGTTCTCTTTTGACACTACTCTGACAGTAATTACAAACAATTTGAGTCAATTCCAGAAGATCATTTCAAGATGCCAAATCCAAATGCCTGTTGGGTCACCGAAGAACAATTTCTATTCTCAACTTTAAGTGAGATTTAATAAGCATTTGTGGTTCCTTTTTCCTCTGCTTTTATGAATAAGATAAGATGCACATCTATTTGACCTTTTACTCATTTATCTATCATTTTTTTCCTTTTTGTTTACTTTTTCATCAACAGCAATATCCCTTTCCCTCCCTGCCCCTCCTGTCAATCTTGACTCATTTCCATTGCAGAAGCTCGATAATTATCAATTAAACCTGAGACTCCCAATGTTAACTAAAAACTTTGTTCTCTCTACCTAGCTCTGCCTCCACTACAATGACAAATTGTAATTCAGAAGGAAACATTTTTTTCTTTTTTTCCCTTTCTTGTTTGTTTCTTTCTTGCTTCATTTGGCCGTGAGTGAGAACCAATGGAAAATCACTCCAATATTCCCAAGGAAAATTTCTTGTCACTTCTATGATCAAACGGCTCAGTGATCCTCAAAATTAACTTAGTCACCAAAGCTACATACTTTTGCATAAAGCAAGTCAACTCTTAAGAGACAACAACCCACCAGAATTCTAAGAAAATTTTCACTTTCAGAAGCAGCTCAATTAATTTCCAAACCAAATTTGCCTAAAACGTAGCTCCAAAGGAATTAAACAGTACCCAGTTCATAAAAATCCGATCAAATCAAGACTAACACAGATTTACAGAACACAGCTGGATCTTAAATCTCTCACAAAAACAGAACAACAAAAAAAGAATCAAAATTTAACAAGACTAAGATTCAATACTCGAACCATCATCCAAACAAGGTCAAATGAACATATCAGAATCGACCACAACGAAAAAGATCACATTTTTCGAAAAATTTACCTGAACGGTGGCTTGAGGCACACGGTTCTCGGCGGCTGCGATCGCAGAAGCAGCTGCGTTTATAGTCTCCAAAGCGTTGTTCCCAGTTCTCGACTCTCCATTCACACGTCTCATCTCCGTTTCTCTCTTTCACCGGAAATCGCCGGTTTTCATCGGACTTCCGAATCCGGCCGAGAAAAACGTCGAATTTTCTCGTGAAAATTGAGCCAAACAAACAAAACAACCCAAAAGCTCGAACAGGAAACGAAAGCAGAAATCTTTCTTTTTGCTGAGACAAAGAAGAAAATTCTGACTACTTGGGATTTCTCGAAGATGAAATCGAAAATGAAAAATATGAATCAAAAATCCGTATTTTGAGTCTTTGAGATTTAATTTCTCTTACTGCGTCTGTCTCTGTGTGTGCGTGTTATGTACAAAAGAAAATTAAATATATAATTTTGATATTTTAGCGAATATTATATTTAATATTTGGCGTGACTGGTTTTGAGGTCAAACACGGCAATGACTTTGTTTTGTATGTGATTTTCGTACACCCCAACTTTAGCCTAAGGTTTATATATTCGATTATATTAGAACTCAGGGAATCTTAAATTTACTGTAACACCCCTGCATTTGCATTTTTTTTTTTTTTTTTTTTTTTTTGTTTTGGGGCTAAGAAAATGGAATACAACACAAAATCCCCGCTACAACTACTACCAGTGATCAAATCTAAAGGGAAAAAGGCTGGTCCCAACCCTGAAAGATTGTACGGAGCGACTATGAGAGGCTCAAGAATCTACTATGAAATTCACCTCTTTATACACATGATTGAAGGAGATTTCCTCAAACGAATTTACCAAATGATGAATGTCGCGAATAATTGTACAAATAAATAAAGGTAGCACGTAATCCCAATATGCATTTACTAAGAACAAAAACTTTGAATATTCTTCGTTTAAGGCACAAATTAACCCTTCTTTTAAAGCTTGACCCGCATCTAAGCACACTAGTTTTGCCCAAATTTCTAGCACCAGCATAGGAGAACTTGAACAATCGAAACAAAACAAAAAGGGTATTTCAGCATTGATGTGCATGTGATGCACATATGCAACAGTAAGTATTGGTGGGGGATGAGGGCAGTTTTGTCAATTGCTGTACTACGAGGACAATTAGTGATGGTGTTAGTTGGAGATTAATTAGTTATTTGTTTTGTTCAAGGACGGGAAAGGTTTTAGAGGTATTTTGTCAAGGTGTGAAGTGTGCACGTGTGGCCATCCAGTTGTTCTTGACGATGATGATGGCTTTCGTGCGCAACACCAACAGCTCCACACTGCCTAATGAGAGTGGGGCCTACGTCCCAAAATTCTCCCCCTTTACCCGCCACTTTAAACTAACTTGCACGGTTGGTGCATCTCTCACTTACCCTCCCCTGCCCCTTTTTTAATGCCTCTACTTCCTACGAAGAATCTTTTGTGAATTTGATGCCCCAAAGAGCCATAAAAGCCACCCCCTTTCCTCACATAACCAAAGGGTTAAAGGCCATGTAACTCTCATGCAACGGCGGATCCAAATTTGAAAGCCGATTAGGCAAAATTTATATTAAAAATTCAACGATACGAGTGAATTTCATTAATAAATATATAAAAATACACCTAGTCAATAGACATAATGAACATTATCCTCAAATGCATCTTTATACATAAATAAAAGCTTATGAAAAACAAAAACAAAACAAGAAGTAAATACAATGCAACACAAAAATAATAGCATAAGCTTTACCCACAAATATTAATGTATACAAATAACCAAAACTCATACTATACAACTCATTTTCAAATCCTAAAAATTAATAATAAAAATAATAAAAACTCAATTCAGAGAGAGAGAGAGAGAGAGAGAGAGAGAGAATTCACAAAATGGGATGGGTAGCTACTCGACCTGCCCTCCACATAGGTTCGCCCATGTCTCATGAAATTAATGCCAATTACAAAATCTTATACTAATATCTCCCTTCTTACTTTGTAACCTTTTATTATACACGGCTACATACAATCACTCTCAAATTATATGTATCTGATCACTTTTCATTATTATACAGGGATACATATAATCACTCTCAAATTATATGTATATTTCATATGGTTAACATAAGTGTAAGGGATCAAATCTAGGATGTTAAAGTTTACAAATTTGTGTCATGGCTGTTACTATTTGTAATTTCAAAATTTTATTATGTATGATTTATATTTAAGACGTCTAAGTTTATAGTTTACCACTTTATTAGTGAATTACTCTCGTGAATTTCTTTACAATAAATGAATTCTAGGTTTCTATCATTCAAGCTTTTTTGTTCAATCCCATGTGTGATTGTGTCAAAAGCATAATCATTATCTATACCTTGAAGGCTTGGACACAAGCACCCACTAGTAGGCATATTGTTTACAACCACATGTTTTGGGGGGTAAGAAAAATGATTCTAGTTTTATCTAAAAGTGGGAATAATGGGTTATCTAATATGCTTTTGGGGGTATGTCATTACTCATTAGTATGTTCTTAGAGCATCTTCAATGGAAAAGGTAAAAGAGTAGGCAAATCTTATTTGCCTTGCCACATCAGCATTTTCATACTCCAAGAGAAGAGGCAAATGGGTAGGCAAAATATACATACTCTCCCCAACAAGACAATATTGGCTATTTCAAAGTAAAGAGGTATATTGGGCCCTACTTAATTTTTATAATAAAATATCATCTCCACTCTCTCACCTACTTTCTGTAAAATATAATAGTAAATGTAAAATATAAAAATAAATAATGTAGTAACAGTTTATAGACTAGCATTGCTTAATCCCTTAGACTGACCAACTTTTTTCATAAGGCAAATGAGTAGGCAACATGTCACCTAGGTTGTTATAGTACAATTTTGCCTATTTCATTTGCCTCTTCCCTCAAGGTTCACCATATTTTAATGAGTGACCAAAGTTTGGTACAAAAGGAAAAAGGCTTTGGGATACCTCAACTCAACCGGAAATTAAGTTTTAAAAGCTAAAAGCAATAATAAAGGGCTACTTTTGACTCTTAAGAACACTAATTATGCAGAGTTGATTGGCAATTTTTCACATTATTATTGCACTTCATGAGTTAAACTTTTGTTGATTGGCATTTTTTCACATTATTATTGCACTGCATGAGTTAAACTTTTGTTGCTTGGTCAAAAACAAAAGCAGAAGAACATGGTTGGAAATTTTGGAACCTGCATATCCTATGATATCGACCTCTCTAAAGACTTTTGGAAAGAAAAACCTTTTTATACGTTATACATAGGTAAGCTTTTTCTTGCTAGGTCACATCTCACGTGCCATGGGCGTGACCATTCAAAGTTTCCAATTAAAATATTGAATAGAGACAAGTGTCTACCATACCCTACTTTTTTTTTCTTTTTGTTTTTATAATAAAAGAAGCTAAAGATATTTAATTGTGAACTGTTGTTTTGTTTTGTGTGGGTAATGCAACAACAATAGTCGTAAAATATATTTAATCGACAGAATCTCACACCTAATATTCTAACAGTAATAATTTTTAATCTAAAAGTAACATTGCAAAGAAAAGGACTAGGGCCAAACTTAGGCAAGGGCCTCTGACTGTCGTCTATTACTACCCTGCTATGGGCTTTTAGTTTTTATCAGTGACCTAACACAGAAAGACTCGCTGAGAGAGTGAGAGCTTAGCAAATTTATAAAATATTCACTTTAAAATGCAAGAGATTAGTTGTAGGAAACACTAGCTTTGTTATCATCTTTGAAGGAACAAAAACTCTGAAAATTGCAGTTTTTTCTTGGATCAAGTCAGAGACGTGTTTTTTTATTTCCCCATCTGTTTTCGGTTTTGAGTAAATGAAAAACCAATAACCATTTACATAATTTCTAGAGACAGAAGAAAGAAAAGAAAAGAAAAGAAAAGAGGAATTTCATAACTATAACTTGTTTCAGATATAATGGTAAACAAGCAATTCTAATAGTATAATTGTAGAGAGTAACATGATTATTGTGAGCATCCTTTGTCCTGGATAACAAGTCAAGATGATTATTTCTCTATATTACAGGAAGGGAATGATACACATGCATGCAGTTTTTCATCCAAAACCAAAATCTTAAGTAGCCAAGCTCTTGGAGGCAATCTCAAACACGTTTTCGGACAGTCCATTGGTAGCCAGTATCTTCTCCAGCTGTGCCTGAAAACACCACACCATGTGTTCTATTACCATGCTGCTCCCGAATGGAAAAATATTGATATTGCATAGTAAAGATTAATCAATGTTTCTGTTTGGACTACATTATGTTTTGCAGTTCGAAAAACAACGCAATACCCAGCAAATGTGCTCTGGAAAAGATATGAAAAATATGCTAGAAATAAGAATGATAAATTGTTACCTTGGCAAGATTTTGCCGGGTTTCATCATAGCGCCTAAACCTTGAGAAGGCCGATACCATGCGGGAGGCCACCTGCAAACAATGACCAAGGACGTTATTAGGGAAGAAATTACATTATAACGAAAACCAAGCAATTGATAATAAGAAAGTGTCCTTCAAGAGGATTCTCTGAAAATACCTGAGGATTTATTTTATCCAATTGCATCACAATTTCTCCCAAAAACTTGTAGCCTGACCCATCCTTTGCATGGAAATTCACAGGAGAACCGCAGAAACCTCCAATGAGTGAGTACACTTTGTTTGGGTTGCGCAAGTCAAATGCTGGGTGGCTTAAAAGGTTCCTCACATTCTCTACATTACCGGGAACGTCAGACATGGCTTGAAGTGCAAACCATTTATTCACAACCTGAGGAGAGGAATACAAAATTACAACAAAAGAAATGGCGAATCTTTTACTTGCATAAATTACATATGTAGGAAATCATGGGAAGGGTTATAAGTACATACATGCTAAACAATAAAACACTTAACTAATTAGTTAAACATACAGACATACTGAACAAGAAAGCAATTATCACAGAAGTAGGAAAACTATGGGTAGCGTTAGTAGTAGCACTAAGTTACCTTTTTTTTTGGGGTCAAATGGCACTAAATTACTTAGTACGCAAAGTTAAATTGAAAAATGTGAAAAAAGCAAATCATAATAACTAAATAAATAAAACATCTGATATAGGATAACGGATGGTGATTTTACGAGACTTTCAGAAATTGATTGGTGAAGAAGAAGAACAGAAGTCTGAACAAAATCGACTATAAGTGACTACCATAGAGCATCATGAGTTCAATCTTGCCTTACAATTGACTTGGGAAATTAAAATCACAGAGCACTGGGTGATTTTATTCTATTAAATAAATTCCTTACAAATGCAACTTAATGACAGGGAATTACAGGTTTAGTGAACATCAGACAGGTTAACATTCGTTGCAGTATGCAATGAAGCTCAGACAAACATACAGACGAGGAGGGAGGGAGAGGATGATGCACACCAAATAACTAACAAAACAGAACTCATTCTAGCAATTTAACGATTATTGAGTTGGACAGAGTTTTACCAAATAGTCCTCCTGCCACTTGCTATAGAAGTCGGCCAGAATATCATCACGAGTTTTACCAGGGTTTTGTGCTATTGCTGCTAAAGCTGCAAACTGATCAGTCATGTTTGTAGCACTCCTATACTCATTCAGCACAAGCTCAGTACACCTTGAATCTTCAAGGGATGCAAGATATGCTACAGATGAAACAAAATACAAGCAGTCAGTCCATGAAAAGTTCGCCGATATTGAAAACATTATGTTTCAAAAGAGCAAAACAGACCAAGAGCAATATTCTTCAGAGAACGCCTAGCCAAATTAGGGTGGTCAAACACATACTCTTCAGTGCTCCTGTTGTTTTCAACCTGTGAAACATATAAAATTCAAGTTGGTTCTTTGTAGAATAGAAAAAGTAAACAAAGAACATGATAAATTGCTCTACAGAATTCTAGGTAAATCGGAAAATGTCAATACTGTGCTAAGAAGCTCTGCTTTCAGTTCATGGGCAAGCTGCTTCCTGATAAAAGTACGAACAGCATGAACAGCATCAGGATCGGCAACTTCCATCATGTCCATTATTTCTCCTTCACCTGGCAGAGTGATTGCCTTTGCAACAAATTCCTATTCAACCAAAGGCAAATATAGTTCACTGATACATCAATTCTCCTGGGCATTACAAAAAGATTTGAAAGGAAATAAAGGGCCCCATCATACTTTATCCAAGCTTAAGTCAGATAGTATGCTTCTGAGCCCATGCACAAACTTTGGATTCAAAACCAAAGGTTTGTTTTGTTGAAAATCAGCAACCAAACTGAGCATCAGCTTGCGCGCCAGCACTTGCCCAGCCTCCCAACTACAACACAAATATAAACAAGTTTTAAAACATATAAAAAATCAAACAGAGGTTCATCTAATAATAATGGAGTTTTACTGCTTTGCAAAAGACAAACCGGTTGAATTCATCTGAATCATAAGCAAGGAGTAAAAATAGATCACTATCTGTGAGATCAGTTTCTAGACGAATAGGTGCACTATAGCCCCGGAGCAAAGATGGAATTGGCCGCTCAGATACATCTGAGAAGACAAACTCTTCTTCTTTCTGCATAGGAGAGTAAAAGCATATCTATTAATATGGGGAAGGCTGACCAGCAACAACTTGCCATGACTATTTCTCAAAAAGGTAGCCAGGCCATTACACAACAAGCATTCAGTGTCCATTTAGAAAAACCAATTTTGCACTCCAACACCTCTATGTTTCCCCAATATACATCATAGGGCAAAATAGTGTTTAAATAACTCAAAGACAACAAATTTTATAGCTTTGTATTTAACATGTTTGAAAGAGATTTCAGTTTTACAAGTTAGTAATAATATGTCCACAAAAAAAATTCTGTAAGATAAGTCCAGCTACTAAGAATACATAAATGGGAAACCAAGGATATTATTGTTTTATAAACATAGCCCCTAAAGTCGAGAGAGAGAGAGAGAGAGAGAGAGAGAGCCAAACACAATATGGTATGAGTCCAAATAAAGATGTTAATAATTTAAAGAAATGCTTAAGACGGAAAATCTGAGCCCAACCTTCGTTACTCTAAGAACTGTTGTGTAGACTGGCTGACCATTGTTAGCAACAGACTGCAATGTCCCATCATGATGCACGGAGGAAAGAGGCACCTCCTTGCCAGTTGAGTCGAGCAAACCTACCGCCACAGGAATGAACATGGGTTCTTTAATGGGCTGCCCTGGAGTTGGTGGTACCTCTTGACTGATCATGTCCACATCATCAAACAGAGCTAGTTAGCAGTGCCACCAAACAAAGAGATAGATAAAGACAACACAGAAAATTATACTCTGTTTATATACCTAAACTTCAAAGAAAATGTGCGGGCTTCAGCATTATAAGAGGATGCAACTTTGACAACTGGGGTCCCAGCTTGTGAGTACCTACAGTTTCATAATACTCCATATAAGCATTAAACCCATAAGAAGGAAACTCAAAAGTGTGGTACAGATAAAGATGCACACCATAGTAAGAAATTAGCAAAATCTGCATTGTTAGCATCTCGCATGGCAGCAAAAAAGTCTTCACAGGTTACAGCTTGTCCATCATGTCTCTTGAAGTAAAGATCCATGCCCTGAAATGGGGAAAATTAATATAAATTGACTTTGTAAAATGGTCAACCTCAGAATATGAAGTATATATTGTAATCATTCGAGGCTTCTCAGTCTTACGTTTCGGAACCCTTGACTTCCAAGTAAAGTTTTGTACATCCTGACTACTTCAGCTCCCTGATAAAGTTGGGCCATTAGAATAAACCATTGACACTAGCAATAGCTTTTGTGCACACGCGTACACGCACAAAGAGAGAGAGAGAGAGAGGAGAGAGAGAGAGAGAGAGAGAGACCTTTTCATACACCTGCCAGGAGAAAATGGAATAACAAAGGATAATTAGATATCTTCTCTATGATTTAAAACAAACAAACAAGAGATAAAAAGAATAGTTGCTGGTCCCTACCGTCACTGCAAGTAGAAGTTGGTGAAGGCCCAAAAGTAGAATCATTTCCAACATGGTTGCACAAGAAACCCAAATATCTCAATATTGAGAGCACAAATTCCTATGACAACCAAAAAAATGCGGCGACCTTTACAATAAACAAATTATTGGAGAAAGAAAACCTGCCTGTATAGAAGTTATCCATCTGCAAGAAAGAAAAACAAAATGAATACGATTTGAAGGCAATAGTTAAAAAAGTACTAGAATATGATAACTTTGAATGAGCTACCAAATAAAAGATCATATCTGACCTTGATGTAAGAATGTGGCCGCACAGGATGAGCCATGGGACCAGCATCCTAAAAGACCAGAAAACATATATCAGGACTTCAATTTGGCACATTACACCACATCCTTAGAACATCAAATGCAAACCCATGCTCAATGGATTCACAACTCGACTCCTAAGCTCATCAAATACAAAAGGTCAATCAGAAGTTCTAAAATTTACATAACCAAAAAAACTGAAAAATAAAAAAAACCTGTGGGAACTGATAATTTCTAAGTCTGGAAACATCAGAAATCCGCTTTACAGGGCGACTCCCCATATCAGATGAAAATTCCTGCATATTATGAATATCATAATGAGCAACAGTCCCCATGTCACAAGATCAAATCTAGAAATATACTCAGTTTATATATGCCACTATGCCTTGAGGTAAAGATAAAAAATTATACCTGATCACGGAAAACAGTTAGACCCTCCTTTAAGCTAAGCTGAAACCAATCACGACATGTCACTCTGCATACATGTTAAACATATTCTTGTATTAAAAATGGTTGTGGAAACCTAACGTGTGAACACCGAACCCACTTTCAATAGATTACAGACTTCAATATAAATGTCAAATCAGATATTGAGAAAAATAATTGGATAACATGGACAGGTGAAGGATGTAAACAGAAAAAGGGAAACAAAGCACATAGGACAGGATGCATATTCTCCGAAAAAATAATTTGTAATGCTGGTATATAAACCAACCTGTTGCCAGTCCAGTTATGGAAATACTGCAAAACAAAAATGGATAGAAACAAAAATTAGCATTAATTTGCTCTCTGCCATCCAAATCAAAATTGACAAAGCACGTTGCTTTGAGTCCTTATTTTATAGATGTCAAAAACAAACCTCGTGGCCAATAACTCCCAAAATGGCTGCATAGTCTGCATCAGATGCAGTTTCTGGAGATGCCAACACAAGTTTGGAATTGAAGATCTGTAGAAATTTATTCAATTGTTAAATTTGAAACAATAATATGGAACTCGGTCATTATCACAAAATTAGATTCTAAAAAGGAAACATACATTCAAACTCTTGTTTTCCATAGCTCCCCTGATAATCAAATAATAACCAAAAGTATCAGTGATTAAATAATAGAATGAATCAAGTTAAAGAAACGAAAACATTAGTCACTTTCCACACTAAAATTTTGAATTTTAGATGTCCGCATACTTGGTTTTTTATCAGAAAGAAAAATAAAACATACATGTTAAAATCTGGAACAGCCACAATGTTGAATAGATCCAGGTCATACTCAAGACCGAAAACCTAATAGAAAAATAGTCATGTGAGCAGAGCACAATAAACTTTGCAACCAATATCAATAAAAACTTTATATCAAAACCAATAATCTTTATAAACATAAAGAAACCCACATCCTCATCCCACTTCATAGCTGCCTTAAGTGAATACATGGCATGTGCAGTTTTTGGCACATCTTGAGCAGGGGTCCAAATCCTCAAAGCCACCTTTCGACCCGAACGAGTAACAATGTGTCATCTCTGCTCTCAAGCTGTCCAGCAACCAAAGCAAACAAGTAGCAGGGTTTCTTGAAGGGATCCTCCCAAAGAGCAAAATGTTTATTACCCTGAACCAAAAGCACAAGATTACAATGAATAACAGTACAGTAAATATCCATGTACTGCACTTTTTAGTAAGTGATGCTCACCTCTAGGTCTCCCTGCTCTATGAGATTTCCATTGGACAACAACACTGGGTATAACGATTTATCAGCTTCTATGCGGCATGTATATTTTGCCATTATATCAGGACGGTCCTGTTCCAAATGAAATGCAATCAATACAGCAGAAGTTGATTGACATTTTACAACTGGACGACTGGAATATATAATAAATTTACCAACCTGATAGAATGTAATTTTACGAAAACCCTCAGCTTCACACTGTGTACAGAAATTCCCGGATGACCTGTAAAGCCCCTACAGTAAAATATCTACAGTCAGAGAAAAATAATACCATTTATCAGGCATAAAAATTGTAGATATGACAATATGCACCTCTAATGATGTGTTCTTCTCAGGATATGTCTCTGTTAAAATTTCCAAAGTAAATGCACCACTAGGTAGTGATGTTAATGTCAGATGGCGTGAATCCAAGCAGTAATCCTCCTCCTATCATGGGGAAAAAAGCAATAAGCATGTAAATATACCAATTCTAGAAAGAGAGAAGGGGTTAGGAAAAAAAGAAATCAGCACATGGAATATTAATAAGACAGGAAAGCATGCTCATGATCTCAAAGTTCAGGTAAAATATCAACTAAAAGTGGCAACTTAAACTACTATATTATGAAGTAGCCTTTCTATGCATTTAATTAAGGAATAAGATCGAGTCAATGCTTGTATTTTTCAGAAAGCAACTATGAAACATTAAGCCGAGAACCAGAATGGCACAAAAGAAATTACATACCTTTAATTCCTTGCTGTTGATTCGAACTGAGAGTAACTTAAGATCTTGCCCATCAAGGACCAAAGGGGAAGAAGAGCCTGTAATACAAAATAACAAAAACGTATTAAATAGCAAAAAAAATGGCTAGGCATCCTTCTTCAAAATCATATGTAGCATAATGAAAAAGATAAGCAAAGATAGATGTAGAGCATCGCTCCAGAAGAGAAAGATAGAATTTTACGACGAGCAGAATAAATTTGTTCAAATGAAAGGAAGTTACCACAGTAACAAGGACAGAGATGTTTTTAACCAATGAAATACTAAATGAGAAGAGTGATTATGGGGACTACCTTCAACTCTGGGGAAAACAGCTATTTTTGAACTAACAATTGTTTTCTCCGCACCAAGCGAAAAATTCAAATCCCCGGAAGTTAGTAGCTCCATAAGACACGAAGTTTCCGATACAAAAAATCCGAGACCAAAAACATATTATAGTAATTTGATTCATGAAAGTGTTTAGGATTACGAGTCAAAGTAGTAGTCAGGCATTTGTATACTCAAGAATTTCTTTTGGTGCACCCAATTTTGGATTCTGCAATGCTATGGGGCAAGGATCTGTGGCAAGCTGAGAGATAGCTCCTGTCCCTTGTTTATCAGTCTGAAAATGAGTCTAGATTGTGCACATGATTACCAAAGTTATAAGAAAGAGAAAACCAACTACAGAGATTGGTATGGTGATATTATACTGGTACAACACCAAAAATACAAGGGGTATCACATACAAATATGAGTATGGCAACGACGATCGGAACACTTAAAACAGTTTCCAGTAAAAACATTCAACTCACAGGAACTGACCAGTACAAGGAAAGAGATAAGGTCCTTCGACAATTACAGGAAAACTCAGGTGAATTAACAGGGTTCAGAAAACCCTGCGTTGAATTAAAGTGATAGAGAAAAGTCAGCACTGAAACATAGTACTTTGGAAAACAGAAATCCCAGAATTACCACGGAAAAATAGGGGAGAAAAATTCACAAACTTCTAAGTAAGAAGCGCTGTATCTGGAAAGGTGTTAGATGAATTCCTTTAATAGATCACCGGCGGTGTACATTGAAGCTGAAAAAGCGCAAAAAAAAACATTCCTACAATGTGAACAATGGAAGAAAAATGATTAATCACGCAATTTTCTAGACAGATCATGTCAATCTAGGACCATGATCACATGCTAATGGTGGTGATTGTACAACACATGGACTATGGCATTCTATCCAACGTAAAGAGAATAATCAATAGAAGGCCGGAGTGAAAGACGACAGTAGAGTAAGCCTCTGATAACAAAAAAATAAAGGCACAACCCGAGGTAACCCTCAAGAAGTGACACCGCTGACAACCCTTTAACAGCTCCGAGTCAGATTTCAAATCTGCTTAACGCGTTTCCTTGGAAATTGAGAGAGTCTTCCACCCGTGAGACGGCTGTGCAAGTTACAAACTTGTAATTAGATTTAACCACAGACGAGCTGATAACACACATATCACATCCTCGATTAAAGAAAGAAATGGGATATAGGACAATTCACAGGAGGAGGACATCAAACCACACAGACTCGTCCCACACCAGCAGAACTCTGCAGGAACAAAAAAAAAAAAAAAAAAAAAAAAAAAAAAAAAAAAAAAAAAAAAAAAAAAAAAAAAAAAAAAAAAAAAAAAAAAAAAAAAAAAAAAAAAAAAAAAAAAAAAAAAAAAAAAAAAAAAAAAAAAAAAAAAAAAAAAAAAAAAAAAAAAAAAAAAAAAAAAAAAAAAAAAAAAAAAAAAAAAAAAAAAAAAAAAAAAAAAAAAAAAAAAAAAAAAAAAAAAAAAAAAAAAAAAAAAAAAAAAAAAAAAAAAAAAAAAAAAAAAAAAAAAAAAAAAAAAAAAAAAAAAAAAAAAAAAAAAAAAAAAAAAAAAAAAAAAAAAAAAAAAAAAAAAAAAAAAAAAAAAAAAAAAAAAAAAAAAAAAAAAAAAAAAAAAAAAAAAAAAAAAAAAAAAAAATTTCGATTGTCAAATGATGTTACTTGTTCAATATATTTTTTGTTTTCTTAATGTCTGGTTAGTGTGCAGACACCAAATTCCTTGTTTAATGGAATAAAGGTATATACAAGTATCACGAACCATGGCAAGATAGAACTTAATACATAAAAGAATGATCAATTGTGCAGGTTGTTTACTTATTGGGCAATTAACGGGAGACATCAAAAAATAGGAAAATCTTTCATCTTTTTACATGGTTAATAGTTTTTTTTGCCATGCAATGTAGTTCCTAGGTAGAAATCCTGGTGGGTTTTAGAGAATAGAGGTGTCTTTCTGCAAGTAATTGCTAGAACCTTTTCTTTTTTTTTTCCCATGTGTAAAATCAGGGTTATGCACCTGCATTCGAAGAAGGCACAAAGTCTAATTGTGGCAGTCATGGTGATATGCAACTGTAAACTGAGAAGAACAGTTTTGAAGGCAGCCATGATGATGATGATTTTGAGCATGAAAGTAATGGATACAGTGAAGAGGCTGAAGCCAGACAAGGCCATGGTTTTTTTTTAATAACTTTTTTGAATTGGTATCAGCCTGAGGAGCGATGCAATTAAGCATTGCTTGCATGTCAAACTATGTGAACTATAATCATGAGCACAAATTTGTAAATTGAAACACTGAATGGTTGGTTCCAAGCCGTTCACACTTTATTTAGTGTAGAGAGAAGCACCAGTTTGACAACAATATTTCCCCAACATTGACAACACCAAAAGACTTCTCAATATTATATACGAGTCTGATGATTATTTGATCATTGGTTTGTGTCTCAAATTGTGAATTTATATAATTCAGTTAAATTTATTCAATGTTGAAAAATCTTTGCATAGGAACACAGACTGAATTGTCTCGGTTCCAACTTCCAAGTTGTTCAGATTTTGCTTGCGAGAGCAAGGTACTTGGTATGACGGCCTTGAGCATGACTTCTTCTTCCTTAACTCAACACTGGCAACATCAACAGCCTTCTAAACTCGTAAAGCCTTGGCCTCAATCTCAACTTCCTCACCAGGGTAAGCATAGACTCCACCATGCATGAAATTGCCTCCCTTCAGTAAACGAGGGGGTACTTTGAAGGAGCAAACAGTACGACCGGGTTCAAGGAGATCAACTTTAATGTCTTCCATGATAAGGGACTCAAAGAACTTGTCTGGCAGCCCATCCATTGTCATTGCCATTTCACCTTATTTCTCCAAGAACTTCTTACTTGTTTCCTCATTTCTCCAGAAGCCTTAGCCATCAGAGAAACAACAGATAAAAGAGTCACATTCAACATCAAGGGTCCTAATACCCTTAGCCCAAGCCATTTGCAAACCTCTAAGGAGACTCCATAACTCAGCCTATGAAGGAAACATGCATTTTAATTTAAGCTCATGGATTTTAAGCTACAACATACATGAATCAAACATTCAAAAGAGGCGGAAGCGACTTTTATATATTATTAAGCCCAATGCTACCAAATTCCAAGTATCTTTCTAGGTCTAATCTCACTTATGCACAAAAGAAAAGGGAGGAAAGGATGCGACTTTCTTATCCTTGAAGCTCTCTTGGATGGTCTTCGACTTTTCACCTTTGTAAAGACCTTCTTCCTTGTTGCTTGCTTCATAGAGTCTTCACAAGGTACCAAAGTAGATACCCTCTAGTTCATACATACAAAAGTAGTGTAAGAAATGAAGAAGATGACCAAGAGGAGGTAAGGTGCTAGCCCTCTCCTCTTGGTGGCCCGTTCTAGCATGGTAGAGTGGAGATTTCTATCCTCTCAAACCCGCTCCAAAGTTGGATTCTTCAAACTCTAGAAAGAAAATGGTCTAAGTGTGGCTTAAATAAGCCAATACAAAAGATGAAGCAAAACCCCATCCTTGTATTTTAGCCATAGTGTTTCTTGGGTTCATTTAACTTATGTTGTCATACAACACATGTTCTCTTGGGCTCGTTTAATTCCAATTTTTTTTAGATCTTGAAAATAGTTTGGAGTTCAATACTAAACAAGTTTATGATCTTAAAATCACTCTTTGAAAACTCATGTTTTTAACAAGAATCATAGTTTTTGAATTTACTTTTTTTAAGTAGGATACCAAATAGGGCTTAAAGCTCCCAAAATATTAAGGCTTATTTTATGATATGCCCCCTCAAAGTGTATTTGAGTCTCACTTTGCCCCTTGAAACTCATTTTGTCTCACTTTACTCCTTTTTTCGCACATATTTGTCTAGATTCCGGTGATGACAGGACCCGCCCCGAATTTCCCGGAACCCGAGACGAACCCTGCGGAGACCCCGGCATCACACCCACGCCGGGTTCACTCCTTAAAACTATGTCCTCTTTTACCAGAGAGGATTTAGGGCACGAGACTTTCTGCCAAAATTTCGGCAGAGTCTCCCCTGTAAATTGAACATTCCCCAAAATTTCCACCTGCATAAAACACATTTTATAACCCAACCAGCAGCACGCACAATATAATCTCATGCAATTTACATAAATGGCCTCCGGCCTTCAAATGATTCTAGCAGAACTGCCCACACTGTTTTTAAAATAACTCATGCATCAAACATGCACATAACCAATTCAAAATCTATCTATGCACACCTTCGCTCACTCAGTCCACCGGACAAGCCTCAATTCAACCAAGTTTCGGGACCAACCACGAGGTCCGCATCATACTCGATAAAACCACCTAAGTGGTGTCTAGGTCGTGGCTGCACCTAGGCGCTATCCCAGGCTGCCTACGTACCCTACTAAGGGATCAAGCCACACGTAGCTCTTTCCTATCAATCCTGGCTCCTGATATCAATTAAACCATCACAACACACCAAACATAATCACATAGCTCCCCTCATACGACGGGACGCACCCGGCCTCGTATGGGGTCTGTCTACACGCCGGCTAATCCAAAGACGCGTGCGACCTCAACCCTGGGCCTGGCTACATTCTCACCAGCCCTCACACAATCATATCTCCCCTCATACGTCGGGACGCACCCGGCCACGTACGGGGTCTGTCAACACGCCGGCTAACCCAAAGACGCGTGCGACCTCACACTGGCCTGGCTACATTCTCACCAGCCATCATACCATCATATCTCCCACTCATACGTCGGGACGCACCCGGCCACGTACGGGGTCTGTCAACACGCCGGCTAACCCAAAGACGCGTGCGACCTCACACTGGGCCTGGCTACATTCTCACCAGCCCTCACACAATCATATCTCCCACTCATACGTCGGGACGCACCCGGCCACGTACGGGGTCTGTCAACACGCCGGCTAATCCAAAGACGCGTGCGACCTCACACTGGGCCTGGCTACATTCTCACCAGCCCTCATACCATCATATCTCCCACTCATACGTCGGGACGCACCCGGCCACGTACGGGGTCTGTCAACACGCCGGCAATCCCAAAGACGCGTGCGACCTCACACTGGGCCTGGCTACATTCTCACCAGCCCTCACACATCATATCTCCCACTCATACGTCGGGACGCACCCGGCCACGTACGGGGTCTGTCAACACGCCGGCTAATCCAAAGACGCGTGCGACCTCACACTGGGCCTGGCTACATTCTCACCAGCCCTCACACAATCATATCTCCCACTCATACGTCGGGACGCACCCGGCCACGTACGGGGTCTGTCAACACGCCGGCTAATCCAAAGACGCGTGCGACCTCACACTGGGCCTGGCTACATTCTCACCAGCCATCACACACCATATCTCCCACTCATACGTCGGGACGCACCCGGCCACGTACGGGGTCTGTCAACACGCCGGCTAATCCAAAGACGCGTGCGACCTCACACTGGGCCTGGCTACATTCTCACCAGCCATCACACAATCATATCTCCCCTCATACGTCGGGACGCACCCGGCCACGTACGGGGTCTGTCAACACGCCGGCTAACCCAAAGACGCGTGCGACCTCACACTGGGCCTGGCTACATTCTCACCAGCCCATCACACAATCATATCTCCCACTCATACGTCGGGACGCACCCGGCCACGTATGGGGTCTGTCAACACGCCGGCTAACCCAAAGACGCGTGCGACCTCACACTGGGCCTGGCTACATTCTCACCAGCCCTCACACAATCATATCTCCCCTCATACGTCGGGAGCACCCGGCCACGTACGGGGTCTGTCAACACGCGGCTAATCCCAAAGACGCGTGCGACCTCACACTGGGCCTGGCTACATTCTCACCAGCCCTCACACAATCATATCTCCCACTCATACGTCGGGACGCACCCGGCCACGTACGGGGTCTGTCAACACGCCGGTAACCCAAAGACGCGTGCGACCTCACACTGGGCCTGGCTACATTCTCACCAGCCCATCATACCATCATATCTCCCACTCATACGTCGGGACGCACCCGGCCACGTACGGGGTCTGTCAACACGCCGGCTAACCCAAAGACGCGTGCGACCTCACACTGGGCCTGGCTACATTCTCACCAGCCCTCACACAATCATATCTCCCACTCATACGTCGGGACGCACCCGGCCACGTACGGGGTCTGTCAACACGCCGGCTAACCCAAAGACGCGTGCGACCTCACACTGGGCCTGGCTACATTCTCACCAGCCCTCACACATCATATCTCCCACTCACGTACCCGGCCACGTACGGGGTCTGCCGGCACGCACACTGGGCTCTCACCAGCCATCATACCATCACTTGGGCCTGAGCATAATCACAATATGAGGGGTACGTGGGGTAGTGCGTATAGCACTGTAAACTAATATTCAATCTCCTTATATCATTATACATCCACACAATTAATTAAATATATCATACAATAACATCAACCAATAAAACATTCCATAAACTCCCACATTTAAATTCACCAATTTATATCCTAAACCCACAATATCCATTTAACTCAACAACGCTCAAGACCTGTCACTAAGGTCATTCTAACCCTCAAGGAAAGGTAAGACTATCTCGGAAGTCTCACGGTCAACCTAGGGTCAAACGGGCCTGCGGGGCCCACAACCTCCAAATTCCGATCCGAAAGTTCCTAGAGGTTCTACAGGCTCTAGGACACATGTCCTGCAAGTTTGGTCCAGATCGGACGGTCGGATCGCTCACGATCACGCGATCGGACGGTTACTAAAACCCTAACCCCAGGGTTGGCATTTCCGGAGTATCCGGGACTCCGTTTTACGATCCGTCGAATCCTACACGATCCTGGTAATACCTAGATCAACATATTATAATTCAGGACCATCCAACGGTCCAAACCTAGCGAACCCGGAAAATACGCGATATGCGATATCCGTTCGGGACTCTAACGATATCCAAATTGAGATCCGAGCACACCTACGCGCTCGTGACAACCAGGTGATCATTTGGGACAAAAATGCCCCTCATCTACAGCCCACGCGCCGCCACACGCGCCGGCAGCGCGTGGGTGTCCAAAGCGATAATCCCATCGCCGGAAAAACTCCAAATCACGGCCAAGACTCCTACCCTAGGTAAAACACCTATTTGGAGTCACTTTTGTTCTTGGACGTACCCCAAAAACTGACCGGAAGTGGCCGGAATCTCATCCCGAAATCCGGCCGAAACCCAATTCGTAAATCGAGTTGCCTACGCTACAAATCGATCAATTCCTACCCAACAGGCAGCTAGAGCTCGGAAAATAGGTGAGAAACCATACCTTGATCGCAAGATTTGGTGGCCGGAATCGCCGGAACGAGCCGGCGAAAATCTGGGTAAAAAACCGGCCGTTTTTCTCGCACTTTCCGGCGATATCGCGGCCGGCTGACGTCGGAGAAGGGTGGGGTAGGACGAGGAGTCGGCCGGTCATTTTGGGACCGGTCCCCGACCCGACTGTGGTGGCCGGATGACGAACGGCCGGCCAAAACGTGGCCGGCTGCGGTGGCGTCGCGAACCAGAGGAGAGAGAGAGGGACGCGCGGGAGAGAGAGAGAGTGAGTGAGACGGGGGCAATTCCGTCTTTTAACCAAAAATCCATTTTCCAAATATTTACGATTATGCCACTGAGCTTCTTTTGATCATATCTCTCTCGTTACAACTCCGATTCGAGCCCACTACGTGTCTACGAACTCATCTCGCCGTGCTCTACGCAACGGTACATCCGGAATTCTCAAATTCCTTCCGGGTAAGAAAATGACTAAAATACCCCTATCCCACGGGTAATTTCTCAATTCCACTTAAATAAATTAAAACATGGGATAAATTTGGGGTCGGGGTGTTACAGGTGATGCCAACAATTTCCCGTCAAAATATTAATTAAAAATTAAAAACTCAATTAATATACATTATGTTTTAAATAATCACAGGCTAGGAGACAAAGAGATTATGGGCTCATATTTTTTGGAGTAGGATTAGGTTATAAAATTTGTACTATGTTTAGTATTTTAAAAAATTTACACCGTACCAGAGCCCAACCTAGCCTGTACATGGATTCGTTCTTATTCAGGGGGCAAAGTGAGACTCAAATGCATTTTCAGGGTATAAATAAAAAAAAATAAAAAAAAAAAAAAAAAAAAGCCAATATATAATACAGAGAGAGAAAATGGAATGGGAAAGTCAATAAAAAATTAATTACAATATATCATTATGTTAAAAAAATATATAAAAAATTAGTTTGTGTAATTTTAGCCATTCATTGTACTCTAATCTGATAGTTGAAAACTAATAAATGAAGGATAATTCTCCGATAAAAGAATATTTTTGTTAAAAAGATCGATTCTATGATAACGTTAGTAGGGCTTAGTTTCCACATCATCAAACTGCTCGGCCATTCATCATCCTTGACAATTTGACATTTTGCCGTCCAAAATATCCAATAAACCCTAAATCAAAGATATTGGAATATTTTAAAGGTATAGCCGAGTGGCTATACTCTTGGAATATATTCCAGACGAACACCAAGCTTGCACTTGGAGAGTACGGATCTTGCACTCGCAGTCAAGCCATTTCGCTTTTCTTTGGTTTCGGCTGCTTCGTCCTTCGGTTTCGGCTGCTTTGTTTTTTTTGTTTTTTTTTCTGGGGGCCTCCTATAATTGATATGGCCAGATTTCTTGGAAACAATAGTCTGTCTGGACCTCTTCCAAGCCAAAAGAGCAATCAACTTCAGAGTATGTAAGTCCTAATGTCATAAAAGTATACTATATGTACTGGCAATGAAACCAGTTCTCTTTGTGTTGTGCGCACATTCCGGCAGCCTTTTTCTTACTTAAATTCCTTTGAACTTTCATGCATTTTTGTGCCTTCTCATTCTGTATTGTTATGTGCAGAGATTTGTCTTACAACTATTTCTCAGGAAGCTTTCCCCGATGGGTAACCACAATATCGCAACTGTATGTCTCCTTTTTATCTTTCACCTTCATTTTTATGGTCCATATCACCTTCATTGTGCATATATAATAACACATGAATGAAATTCAATAAACTAGAAGGGATGGCTTTGAAGTACTAATATGTTGACATCTTGAACACGAAATTTTCATCTTCATATGTGGTTTGATTAATGATTTTATGGAGGAATTTAGTGGTCAACAACTTCACATTTGACAGTTCAAACATAACGTGAGTTGAATCGAAATACCCTTTTTTTAGACAGATAGTTCAAACATAAAGTGATTGCTATTACACTTTTGCAGCTTAATGGATTCTTCCACTACAGTTTAATTATTATAAATTATAATTGTTCTCTGTGTTTACAGTCTTCCTGGATTGAATTGCCTCCCGAGGAATTTTCCATGCCATCAAGGTACCCCACGATGTAATCTTCTTCTCTGTTTCACTAGCATTTATTTCTTTAATGCAAGATCATGTTACAGCATTAGGCGTTGCTTATCTCATTATGTATACATACTGTAGGAATGCCTTGATAAATTTATTAAGCATATCTTTTGCTATTACATCAGTTTGAAGTTTTTTCACTAATCATAGCTTGTGCTATTACATTGAATTGTACAGATGCAAACTTCTCAATCAAGTGTGGAGGACCACAAATGAGAGGAAATGATGGCATATTGTATAAGGCTGAAGACTCAGCTCTTGGCCCAGCAACATTTAATGTAACCAGTACACAGAAATGGGCTGTTAGCAATGCGGGTTTTTCTGATAATTTGAATCAATCATTTGTGGAAACCACCCTTACGCAAGTCTCCGGTGCAGATTTGACACCAGAGCTTTACAAGACTTCAAGAGTGTCCCCAGGTTCACTGAGATACTATGACCTGGGTCTTCAAAATGGACCTTATACTGTCTCATTGCAATTTGCAGAAACGGTTTTTGCTAGCCGCGATACACAAACGTCACAAAGTCCAGGAAGGCGTGTATTTGATATCGATATTCTAGTAAGGCTTCTAATAAAGAAAAAAAAAGAAGCTATTTAAAGTAAAGGCAACCTCATTAGACAGAATTATTTAACTATCTCTTCATTTGCTTCCTAGGGGTACCTCAGAAGGAAGGACTTCGACATATCGAAGCAGGCAGGTGGGGTTAACAGAGCAGTTCCAAGACCCTTCAAGGTTAATGTGACAGAGAATTACCTGGATATTCATCTGTTCTGGGCTGGTAAGGGAATATGTTGCATACCTGAACAAGGTGATTAGAGCCTGCTAATATCGGCTGTCCACGCTGCTTCAGGTATATAATATAATGTCAAGTTATGAAGATTTCCTATGAATGGTTTAAATGTATTTATCTGCTGTCAATTGATTGACACACTGAACAATTATTCTGTTTCATTGCTCAGATCTTACACCAACTACTCCAGGAAAGAAGAGCAGGACTGGGTTGATAGTTGGTATTGCAGTCCCTGTCGGAGTAGTGATCTTGCTATTATTATTTGCGGAGAAAAACATCAGAAAAAGATGACGATGAAGGTAAAAGAGAAATGAGCATATTATTAAGGATTAATTCTGCATGCGGTTCTAGGTTCTTTCTAGTGTTGATAAGCATATTTGAGAGAAAATACTTCCGATGTGTTGTTTTGAAATTTAAACCTATGTCATACTCTCTTTTGAATATGCAGATCTTCTAGGATTAGGTCCCCGACCAAATACTTTCAGCTATGCTGAGTTGAGCGCTGCAACAGAAGATTTTAATCCTTCAAATAGGCTAGGAGAGGGAGGATATTGACCTGTTTATAAGGTGAAATCTATTTTACATCAATATCTGCTACTTCAAAGTAATGACTTTGACTTCTTACAAAAAGAAATTGAGAGAGAATCAAAATAGATTCTTTCTACTTCCCTTTCATGTCACTGAATTGTATTTCTGTTTATAGGGTACACTTTCTGATGGGTGGGTAGTGGCTGTTAAGCAACTTTCAGTAGCATCTCACCAAGGGAAGAGTCAATTTGTTACCGAGATTGCTACAATATCTGCAGTCCAACATCGCAATCTAGTGAAATTGTATGGATGCTGCTTTGAAGGAAGCCACCGCATTTTGGTTTATGAGTATCTTGAAAACAAGAGCCTTGATCATGCACTTTTTGGTAGGTTTTATAGAAACAGAATACTCTGCAGTATCAAGGACTCTAAAAGTTCATCCATGTTTTTTACACAACCATTTTGTTATAATTTTTCTCTGCTGAGGAATGAAGATTAAAGAAACCAAAAGAGTAATATTCGAGTCATATGAAATAAAAAACCTGCACATTCTTTTGCTACTTTGCCTTCTATTTTGCATAAAAACAGAATACTCTGCAGTTTAAAGTACTCTAAGGTTACATCCAATTTCTTTTTCTTTTTCTCTTCTGCTTGTTATTAGTTGTTAACATTCATTGGTTGTTTTCCATGTAATGTTTCAGGAAGAAATTACTTGCACCTTAACTGGCCTACCCGCTTCAATATATTGTTGGGAACAGCAAGAGGACTTGCTTACCTTCATGAGGAGTCAATGCCCAGAATTATACATCGAGATGTCAATGTAACACCCCGACCCCAAATTTATCCCATGTTTTAATTTATTTAAGTGGAATTGAGAAATTACCCGTGGGATAGGGGTATTTTAGTCATTTTCTTATCCGAAGGAATTTGGGAATTCCGGATGTACCGTTGCGTAGAGCACGGCGAGATGAGTTCGTAGACACGTAGTGGGCTCGAATCGGAGTTGTAACGGGAGAGATATGATCAAATGAAGCTCAGTGGCATAATCGTAAATATTTTGAAGTGGGATTTCGGTTAAAAGACGGAATTGCCCCCATCTCTCTCACACTCTCTCTCTCCCGCGCGTCCCTCTCTCTCTCTCCTCTGGTTCGCGACGCCACCGCAGCCGGCCACGTTTTGGCCGGCCGTTCAGTCATCCGGCCACCACTCGGGTCGGGACCGGTCCCAAAATGACCGGCCTGACTCCGCCGTCCTACCCCACCTGTTCTCCGACGTCAGCCGGCAGCGATACCGCCGGAAAATGCAGAAAAACGGCCGGTTTTTACCCAGATTTTCCGGAGCTCGTTCCGGCGATTCCGGCCACCAAATCTTGCGATCAAGGTATGGTTTCTCACCTATTTTCCGAGCTCTAGCTGCCTGTTGGGTAGGAATTGATCGATTTGTAGCGTAGGCAACTCGATTTACGAATTGGGTTTCGGCCGGATTTCGGGATGAGATTCCGGCCACTTCCGGTCAGATTTTGGGGTATGCCCAAGAACAAAAGTGGCTCAGAATAGGGTTTTACATCTAGGATAGGAAGCTTGGCCGGCGGTTTGGAGTTTTCCGGCCGCCGGAAATTACTCAAGGCACCCACGCGCTGCCGGCGCGTGTGGCGGCGCGTGGGCTAGGAAAATGGACCGGCTCGAGGTTCTAAAATGATCCTCAGGTTGTCATGAGCGCGTAGGTGTGCTCGGATCTTATTTTGGGTACCGTTAGAGTCCCGAACGGATATCGCATATCGCGTATTTTCCGGGTTCGCTGGGTTTGGACCGTTGGATGGTCCTGAGATTGTAATATGTTGATCTAGGTATTACCAGGATCGTGTAGGATTTGACGGATCGTAAAACGGAGTCCCGGATACTCCGGAAATGCCAACCCTGGGGTTAGGGTTTAGTAACCATCCGATCCTGCGATCGTGAGCGATCCGACCGTCCGATCTGGACCAAACTTGCGGGACGTGCATCCTAGAGCTTGTAGAACCTATAGGAACTTTCGGATCGGAAATTGGAGGTCGTGGGCCCTGCGGCTCGTTTGACCAACGGTGGGTAGTTTGACCCTGGGTTGACTGTGAGACCTTTGGGATAGTTCTACCTTCTCAGGAGGGTTAGAATGACCATAGAGACAGGTCCTGATGTTATGGGGATTATGGGGAATTATTGGATGCTAGTTGTTTATTAAGGTGTTTATATTATTAGAATTTAATGTATAAATTATGTATGGATTTTATAATTGAATGTCAGTTTGCAGTGCTATATGCACTACCCTATGTACCTCCTCGGATGTTGACAGACCCCGTACGTGGCCGGGTGCGTCCCGACATATGAGTGGGAGATATGATTGTGTGAGGGCTGGTGAGAATGTAGCCAGGCCCAGTGTGAGGTCGCACGCGTCTTTGGGTTAGCCGGCGTGTTGACAGACCCCGTACGTGGCCGGGTGCGTCCCGACGTATGAGTGGGAGATATGATTGTGTGAGGGCTGGTGAGAATGTAGCCAGGCCCAGTGTGAGGTCGCACGCGTCTTTGGGTTAGCCGGCGTGTTGACAGACCCCGTACGTGGCCGGGTGCGTCCCGACGTATGAGTGGGAGATATGATGGTATGAGGGCTGGTGAGAATGTAGCCAGGCCCAGTGTGAGGTCGCACGCGTCTTTGGGTTAGCCGGCGTGTTGACAGACCCCGTACGTGGCCGGGTGCGTCCCGACGTATGAGTGGGAGATATGATGATATGATGGCTGGTGAGAATGTAGCCAGGCCCAGTGTGAGGTCGCACGCGTCTTTGGGTTAGCCGGCGTGTTGACAGACCCCGTACGTGGCCGGGTGCGTCCCGACGTATGAGAGGAGATATGATGGTATGATGGCTGGTGAGAATGTAGCCAGGCCCAGTGTGAGGTCGCACGCGTCTTTGGGTTAGCCGGCGTGTTGACAGACCCCGTACGTGGCCGGGTGCGTCCCGACGTATGAGTGGGAGATATGATGGTATGATGGCTGGTGAGAATGTAGTCAGGCCCAGTGTGAGGTCGCACGCGTCTTTGGGTTAGCCGGCGTGTTGACAGACCCCGTACGTGGCCGGGTGCGTCCCGACGTATGAGTGGGAGATATGATGATATGATGGCTGGTGAGAATGTAGCCAGGCCCAGTGTGAGGTCGCACGCGTCTTTGGGTTAGCCGGCGTGTTGACAGACCCCGTACGTGGCCGGGTGCGTCCCGACGTATGAGTGGGAGATATGATGATATGATGGCTGGTGAGAATGTAGCCAGGCCCAGTGTGAGGTCGCACGCGTCTTTGGGTTAGCCGGCGTGTTGACAGACCCCGTACGTGGCCGGGTGCGTCCCGACGTATGAGTGGGAGATATGATGGTATGATGGCTGGTGAGAATGTAGCCAGGCCCAGTGTGAGGTCGCACGCGTCTTTGGGTTAGCCGGCGTGTTGACAGACCCCGTACGTGGCCGGGTGCGTCCCGACGTATGAGTGGGAGATATGATGGTATGATGGCTGGTGAGAATGTAGCCAGGCCCAGTGTGAGGTCGCACGCGTCTTTGGGTTAGCCGGCGTGTTGACAGACCCCGTACGTGGCCGGGTGCGTCCCGACGTATGAGTGGGAGATATGATGGTATGATGGCTGGTGAGAATGTAGCCAGGCCCAGTGTGAGGTCGCACGCGTCTTTGGATTAGCCGGCGTGTTGACAGACCCCGTACGTGGCCGGGTGCGTCCCGACGTATGAGTGGGAGCTATGTGATTATGTTGGGTGTGTTGTGATGGATAAACCCGAGAATGTATGAATTTATATGGATGTAATGGGTTTAATGGATGTCAGGAGCCAGGATTGATAGGAAAGAGCTACGTGTGGCTTGATCCCTTAGTAGGGTACGTAGGCAGCCTGGGATAGCGCCTAGGTGCCGCCACGACTTAGACACCACTTAGGTGGTTTTATTGAGTATGATGCGGACTTCGTGGTTGGTCCCAAAACTTGGTTGAATTGAGGCTTGTCCGATGGATTGAATGAGTGAAGGTGTGCATAGATAGATTTTGAATGGGTTATATGCATGTGTGATGCATTAAGTTATTTTAAAAACAGTGTGGGCAGTTTGTTAGAATCATTGAAGGCTGGAGGCCATTTATGTAAATTGCATGAGATTATATTGTGCGTGATGCTGGTTGGATTATAAAATGTGCTTTATGCAGGTGGAAATTTTGGGGGATGTTCAATTTATAGGGAAGACTTTGCCGAAATTTTGGCAGAAAGTCTCGTGCCCTAAATCCTCTCTGGTAAAAGAGGACATAGTTTTAAGGAGTGAACTCGGCATGGGTGTGATGCCGGGGTCTCCGCAGGGTTCGTCTCGGGTTTCGGGAAATTCGGGACGGGTCCTGTCAGTCAAAGCAAGTAATATTTTGCTAGATGCAGAACTCCTCCCCCCAAAAAAAAAAAAAAAAAAAAAAAAAAAAAAAAAAAAAAAAAAAAAAAAAAAAAAAAAAAAAAAAAAAAAAAAAAAAAAAAAAAAAAAAAAAAAAAAAAAAAAAAAAAAAAAAAAAAAAAAAAAAAAAAAAAAAAAAAAAAAAAAAAAAAAAAAAAAAAAAAAAAAAAAAAAAAAAAAAAAAAAAAAAAAAAAAAAAAAAAAAAAAAAAAAAAAAAAAAAAAAAAAAAAAAAAAAAAAAAAAAAAAAAAAAAAAAAAAAAAAAAAAAAAAAAAAAAAAAAAAAAAAAAAAAAAAAAAAAAAAAAAAAAAAAAAAAAAAAAAAAAAAAAAAAAAAAAAAAAAAAAAAAAAAAAAAAAAAAAAAAAAAAAAAAAAAAAAAAAAAAAAAAAAAAATAGAATAAATGGAAGGAATATAAGAGTGGTCTCGGTTCGATCATGAAGTTTAGACTATTGCTTGAATTAAAATAAAGAAATAAAGAAATAAAGATTATAAACATTCCCTTCTTTTATAGGAAGAAAACAAACGGGTACAAGAACATTGGAAGTGCCTTTTCTTTTTATAAAGTGACTGATTTTTTTATTTTTTATTTTTTTATAATGGTTAAGGGACGATTCAATAAAAGCCCCACGGCAGAGGCCCAAAGGGGAGCCGAAAACCCACCAACAAAACAGACATGCCAACATGGAACCAGAAAAACTAAAATAAGAGGGGGAAAAAATTAAAAATTCCCAAGACATAGACAAGCCAAATAGAAAGACCAAAATCCAACAAGGACAATGGAGCAAGGAACAGACCAAAGCAAGTCTAAGAACAAAGATGGGGGTTAAGGCCAAGGAATAAGTGATAAATCAAAATTCACTCCAGAAAAGTAATTAGAAGAAAACGAAGATGAAAAATATAAGCCAAAGGATGTTTTTCAATTCATACACAAGCCAGAGTCCATTGTCCTACCTTTATTCAATACAAATTTGTATCTAATTCAGAAGAGTCGGCGATATAACAGCTATAACCGTGTTCATATAAATGCAAATTCGTATTTTAAACTATTTATTGTAAGGAAAAATAAGGACATCCTTACTATAGAAAGTCTATATGTACGCATCACTATCAATTCCTTCTATTTGTTGGGGGTAATTATAAAGAAAAATGTTTGACTTAGTTCATAAATAAAATGCTGGAATAATGCTCAAATTCAAGATATTGAATTAGTGTGGTTAATTTTCCATTGTTGCCATTATTAGTCATCCTTCTGATGCCATATTTTTTTTTGGCTCTTCTTATCCACAGTGTAGGGGTTCAAAGTTTGCTGATCGTAATGGTTTTGAAATCAATAGTGATGAATATAGATCTATTTACTAATCTCAACAAGTGAATTTAAAAGTGCAAAAAGTGAAGTTTCATGTAATGTAATGGTTCATGCTAAGTATTTTAAATATGAGATAGTTTCGTATGATATCTAATTTCTTGGGATTAACCTGATTCTTGTTTCTTTTTTTCTTCTTTTTTTGGGGTTTTTGATTGAAATGGTCTTCCAATTATTGCTCAAGTTTCATTTTGGTTCATGAACTAAAATTTTCATTTCAATAGCCATTCAACTCTCTATTTAGTATCAAAACGGTCTCACCGTTAAAGTTTGTTAATATTATCGCTAAATTGAGAGTAAAACTGCCCATATAAATTAAAATATTAATACATTAATATATATATATATATATTAAAGCAAAAGGTAGAGAATGATGAAACATTCAAAATATCAGAAAATGCCCTTGGTTAATCTAAACATTAAGAATTAAAATTATTAATTAAATGAGGATAATATGGTAAATTCACTTTTTTTATATTAAAAATATTAAAATTAAAAGAAAAATCAGATAATGAGTCTTATTTTTATGAAACACAACAACCAATTATCTTTTTTAATTCTAAAATAAATTTAAATTCTTTTTTAAAAAACCCTCTCACAGCGCGAAAGCGCGTGTGTAGAGGCTAGTTAAAAATTATAGAAACTATTATTAAATTAGAAAATTAAAATTAGAAAATTAAAATTAAAATTAAAAATTGAATCTCACCAGAAATACCTATTGTGGTTGGAGGACCAGGATTCTGGAACAAGGAAGAGATGTTATTCACCACCACCACCACCACCACTCTCTCTGTCTCTCTCTCTCTCTTTCCCCCCACGAGCCTCCTCTCCCCCCAAAAACTTCTCAAGACACCCACTACCTCCTCTCCCAGCTAGATAGATCCCATCACAAAAGCAGAATTATCAATGAAGAGGAAGGAAATTGGAGAACAAGAAAGGAAGATAGAGTCGACCATGACATCAGTTGGCTGGAAGTAGATGAAGAGGTAATACCCGATCACAAGCACAATTGAAGTTCCAACTCCAAAATCGCAAAAACCCAAAATCGAACTCAGAATACCCATCTCTAATCTGCCCTTAACATTTCTGTTCCTAGTAGCTGTCCATCAAAGGGTTTTAGAATTTTCTTATTTAGTTCCTAAGATAGTATTTGATTCATTGAGCTGATGCTGCTACATGGACAGGGACACCTGCGATGTTTTTTCAGAATGCCCCACCCATGAATTTCTTTCCATTTCTGGAAAATTCAAGGAATGTGCCAACAACTCTTAGAGACTTTAAATCCATGGATTTGTTCCCTCAACAAGCTGGTTTTGGCTCCTGTGTCCCATAGAAGAGGTTCTGTAGATCCATTTTCTGTAAATTTAAAGGCATTGTTGCAGCAAATGATTTTGTTCAGTTTATTGCACATGGACAAGTAGGAAGTTTAATATAGCTAGGTCTGTTATAATTTAGTTAAATATTATGAATGCTGGATATTTCTTTTGCAGTATGCGAATGGGAATGGGAATGTAATGTAAGTAGCAGAAAAGAATGCTCTGTTGGCAGGGCCACTTGTGAATGTGAAGCATGAGGATGGTGATGACTGATGAACAATTGCAAGTAGGCGTTACTTTTCCTTTCTATTATATTTATATGCTTATATAATTTTATAAATGCTCTCTGCTTAGATGTGTTTGTGGGTGAGAAATACCCATTGTTCTTCATGTTCAGCCACTCAAAAGGAGTGAGGCTTGGGATCTATTTTGCATGAAAGCTTTCTCTAGCTGTTCAAATAGATTTTACCCACCCAGAGCTTTGAACTCAAAGCCAGGGATCTTGCTGGAAAACTCTAGGCATTGTAGCTTTCGGTGCTCTCATGTCAACCAAAAATTGGCTAAGCTTCAGTGATTTACCCTACCATCTTAAGCTTGGTTGCATTTTTACAGAAGATTATTTGATTCGGTGTAGAAACGCTTATTCGACTTTGGATAGCAGAGGGGTTTGTGGAACAAGTTAGAGGGGCTAAGGGAGTGTCTTTGGAGCTGTCACATGAGCAAGGACTTCCCTCTCCTTTTACATATTGTTCCCCTCGATTCAGGAACAGAGAGTTTTAGCTGACGAAATTCAAAACTTTGGCACCTGTTAGATTGAATTAGGCTTGTGGGTTTTGAATTGGTCAGTGTTAAGTATCTAACGCAAAATAAATTGGCAACGAGTGGTCATCCAAGGTTATCCAAGGCTTGAAATTCACTCTGTGAGATTTTATATTCTTGACAACGGTTGGTGGACGTTGTTCTAGCTCCGGTACCAGTTCTCTTGGGTTTTGAACCAAAGTTGATAGAAACTAGAGCCTTAAACACCTTATAACAAGGGGACGGACCCATGGATGCATGCTATAAAGTAATATAATTGGTTCTTCATTATATATTTCAGAAATTGTTTGATCAAGTAATCAAAGATGAACATATTTCTACTTTCTCTTTATCAGGTAATGGCTAAAACTTTGATATGTATGACATCTCACGGAGGTACAACACCTTCTAATTCTTCCGTTGTTGCTGCTGCTGCTATGCTGCACACCGTTTTCAAAAGTTGTGTTAAAATATACCAAAGTTTATTTATGAAAAGATGGCTTAAATGGAGAAGCATTTCAATGTTATCTGGTAAGTAGGTAGAAGATAGGAAATTAGAAATTGTGTGCCTCAACTAAGCAAAGCTTGATTACCTCCTCAACCCGGTGTCCTTCTTTCTCCACCTTGTGGACATGTTACTCTTTCTGATAATTATTTATATGAAAGAATCAGTACTTAATTGCAACAATCAATGAGCCCAAATGAGAGAATTGTGTTAATTTACATATCTTGTATTTAGAAAGAGAGAGTGAAAATCTTGAGAACATGTAGTCATATGGAAGATGTACAGAGTAAACACTCACCCACTACTTTATGTTTGTGGCTCATCTGTTAGACTGAGTGAAGATAACGGTTTTGAAAGGATCTCCACAGGATCAGCCTCACGGGAATTGCTCGAATCTACCGGGGATCTCATCGGAACAACTTTATCTCTGTACCAATTGAGAAACAATGGATGGATGATTGAAGCCATGTCTATAGAAACCTTTTAATCAGCATAAATGTACTGTTCTATTATATACAACTTTAACTTTTGCTAATTTTCTATATGTACAAAATGAATAAATTCACAAGAAAAATTATAAGTGAGTGCATACGTACCCCTCAACACATCTGAGTAGGCAGAGGTTCATCTTATCAGCTGTATAACTACGAAATATGATCTGAAGCCGCTCCGCAAATTCGGAAGTATCAGAAACTGGAAGAACATCCCAAATCTTCATAACCTGGACGTAATCTGAGTTCTCTTCAAGAACATCTACTGACCAAATGAGATTCAGCTGCCCTTTCACTTTATACTTCTCTAACAGCTGACCACAAGACCCCCCATGAACTATAACTCTTTTATCCTTGCAAGTTTGGCGCCAGCCGTCAGAGAGCTTTGTTAATAAGGAAACCACTTCTCCACGGATGTCAGTGTCTTTAATCTTTTCCATGGAATTCTGAAATTTTTTGGTGAAATAAACCTATAGAGGAAGAAGATTGATTAATGCTAATACTAATATACGAAGAATAAATGCTGCAAAACACAGAATCTAAATGCAGAACGAATTTGCCTTTAAAAAGGCATGTTCCCCTATTCAGCTCTCCCTCGATAATTTATACATGTAACAGAGGAGATTTGTGAAGTCTATAAGGCCTTGATAATTTAGGTGCCATGTAGAACTCGAACGAAAGGGAAATGTAGCAGCATACCTTCCATATGGCGTTTTTGAACAGCAGAGAATCAGCATTAAGTAGAATATGTAGTTGGCCAAGCTCCATGAGGGCTGCTGCAATGGCCTGAGCCAAGTCCTTGTCCTCATGAGCATTATAGAAACATTTGCGTTTCTTTGCATCATGAATTAGCTTCTTCCAAATAGAGTTACAGCTGATCAAAGTTGCTTCGTTCCCCAAAATCCAAAGACAGTACCTAACAGACATAAAACAATTGATGAAGTTCATCAAAAACCATCAAAAATTCAGAAACTAGATCCAAGCTGCTGCATGTAAAACCCCTAATATGACAGAAGTACCTTGCGCGCGTTAGCATAACGTTTGCTCTTTGAAGATTGGAGACGAAACCTACAGATCCTTTCTCGTTACATCTGACAGTGGAGATAATTATCACATCATCTTCACCACCTTGAAAGCCGTCAACAGTTCGCACACTTACAGAGAAGTCAGTGCCAGAAACTTCACTGTATTCTCCGACTCTCTCTTGAATTGCATTAACTTGAGCTTTGTAAGGTGATATTACCCCAACACTAACCTTCTTCTTTGTTCGAGTAAATTCTGTGGTCCATTAAAAAAAAAAGTTACAAAAAGCTAAGAACATCTACACTAGCTTACAGCAAAACTTACCTCTGTAAAGGCTTGCCACAATCTCACAGACCACAGCAACCTCAACCATATTTTTTGGACTATGCCAGCGATCGAATTCTTCTTTTCCATTGACTATATCTATAAAGGAGTAGGATCCATACATTTTTCCTGAAAGAAAAGACCTCTCATAGCTTCTTTGCTTGACATTTGGACCATCTGATATCCGGTTCTTGTAAAACTCCCCTTTTGGGAATAAGCTGATTGATGGATGCATTCTGTACTGGACATTGAGAAGGTGCTTCTTATGTCCCAACTGTACAAGTCTTCCGAACAAACTTCTTCCAAAACCAGCCTTCTCAGAAATCTGAAAATTGCATTGTTCAAAATTCACATAAACATAAAAGCTTTTCAAATTTTGAAAACTAAACAGCACAAGGGGCAAAAGGAAACCTTGCTTTTAACCATAGCAGGGAGTTGCTTCTCATCTCCTACGAGAATAGCATGGCGAAGACCAGGTAGTTGTAAAGGAATTGCTGATTCGCATTCTTTAAGCTGAGCAGCTTCATCAATCACTAGCAATTCTAGAGGTCTCATTCTCTCTCTGTTCAATTTAGCACAGCTTGATGCGGTGCAAAATATTAAACAAGCATTTGCCAAGCACAATGTCCTTATTTTCTTCACATCATTCAAATCAGGAACAGAAAATTCACGAAGCGACATCAGTGTATGAACACAATCTTTTAGAACTAATTGTGACCTTTCATTAGCAAAACCAACATCCTGCAGTAAAGCTTTAAGAGAACTGAGCAAATCCGAAGCTCTTATCATGGCCTTTACAACCTCCAGTGAAATGCAAGAAGTTGGTAAGTGGGTGTACAAATTGACCATGCAAATCTTCAGATCCTTACCAATTGAACTAAGTTTTTCCTTCACAAACTCCTCTAAGGTCAGAAAATCATCCTCATCATCCTTTGTTGAGTTGCTATCATTGACTATAACTCCCTTCCTTGCGGTCATTACCACTCTCTTCATCGTTGTCAAAATATTATCGCTATCTTTGCCATCCTCATCGCATCTTCCTCCCCTTATTTCTTTCAAATACAACAAGTACTTTTCCTGTGGATCCTCAAGCAAACCTATCATTGATTCCAACCAATGTTTCCATCCAGTCCGAGGGTTAAAACACTCGGCCAGAATTTCAATACGATAATCAAGAAATACCTCAACAAGGTCATCATAATTATCGATCTTCATCCGCTCCCCATTCCCAAACAGAATTATATCTCCAAGTCCATACTTTCCACAACCAAGAGACTGATTAACCAATCCCAGCAGTCGCACTGCCACTTCTAACACAGCGATATTTGTTGGAGCACATGTTAGTGTTCTGCACTTCAACTTCAAGAGGGAAAAAAGTGACATAGCAACTGTCTTGGTTTTTCCAGTCCCAGGAGGACCCCATATTAGTTTTATGGTATTTTGGTGAGTACATTTACTCAAACTGATACAGTTCAAAACTGCAGCTTCTTGGGAATCATTTAGATCAGAGCCCATTGAGGGCCATCTATTTGAAAGGGCAGCAGAGCATTTTTCTTTTGAAAAGCAAATTGAACAAGAATTCCCACCCTGTAAGAAAGAAACATAAACCTGTTGTTCGGGGCTTTGGGAATCAATTAGCAACTAAGCATGGTCAACAATGCAATCAGAGTAGATCATCCTTGTTTCGAAAACATGAAGAAGGCCTAATGAATGTGCATGCATGATGTTAAAGTAAAGATAGAGTCAAGAAGAAAAAAATTACTTGTGATGAATTGGGTTGCACTTGCAGCACATTCTTTGTTAAATTTGTGTTGGCCCCTTCTGAGTTCAAAGCTCTCCATACGCGAACATTTGTCATCATGTTGATTAGATAGACAGCAAGAAGTTTTTTTCCTCCTTCTTTATTGATAGGCTTTGATGAGAGTATTGAGAGGTTATTATCTCTGCCTTGAAGAACATACGCAATGAGATATGAATCTCTGGGCTTGTTCAAATCATCGGTGCATTTTGGTCTGATATCAGTCAAGGCAATAAGATCTCCAGCCAGCGGCTCATATGATCCTGTGGCTTCTCCCCTGCCCTTAATTATAATATCATAAAACAAGTCCTTGGGAGGTTTATGACCCTTTGAAGTTCTAACAGCCAGAATTTCACAGGTAGGTGCCTGTGACAGAGTCATCATGCTTGAGAGTAAATCAGCATGTGTTTCCTCAACAAGTGAAGGAAGGAACGATTTCATGTAACTAGTCACGGTCGAAAATGTCTCAGGAATTTTCGCCACCTGTAAGTTGACACAACCAAAGCGAAATCGACATGCATAACTCATCCCATTGTAGCTAGTTTTCTAATTAAGCATTGCTCAGAAAACATGATGACATGACAGAAATTAAGCATTGGTCAGAAAACAAACCTGTTTTTTGTAAAGATTTTTTTGAGAACATCCTTCATAGACCAAGAGAAGACCGAATCGATTAAGCTTCTACCGGCAACGCCCCCCTTTTTCACATTACTCTCTTGATGATCCATAGCTGCTTACTGATCTTTTGATATCCGCAATGACTACTTTGTAAGTTGTGGAATTTCAAGTCAAGTGCAAGTCAATTACTTAGTCTAAGATCATTTTCTTTTAAAGTATATATATATAGTAAATTACTTACCACGGAAGCAGAGCATGGCTTGCCACTTGGTCAAAAAAGTCTACAAGGGTACAGTGAAAGAGAACTTCCCAGCAGCTGCATATTTCCTTTTGCTGTGCGTCAACAACTTGGTAGCCAAGTACTTCTGCGATAAGGACTAAACTAAGAGGAAAGTAACAACTTGTAATGATTTATGTTTTTTTAAAAAATGGAAGGAAAATAAGGATTAAATATTATGCAAATTTCATGTTTTCTTTTGCTTTGCAATAACAAATTGATACCCAAGTACTTTTGCAATGAATAAAGGGCTAAGCTAAGTATAAAGTAACAACTTGTAAGAATTAAACTGTTCACCCGTTTCGTGTTTACTCCTATGATGGAAGGGCAAAGCTCCCCACTGCCTTGAGAACCATAGACTGGTCCACAAGTCAGCTTTCTTTGGTGTGCGAGCGTGCCACTGCTAGTAATGAAAAGTCTAGCAGACTTAGTCTGGAATGGATAACTTGCGCCCCAAGTTACTGATTTCTTAAACAAACGATTGTGAATTTGGGTGAGGAATATCTCCCAAGTAAGTTCTTTTCTTGCCTCAGACTGGTGAGGACTTTAGTAATTTATCTCAGTATAAAGAGGTTGTTCTGGCCAGAATAGTTGATGAAATTTAAGCTGTTTTTGGGCGGAAGTGCCTTTTACAAGACTACAAAAATATATGTCGATGCCAAAAAGATAAAAAGATAGCTAGATCTCCATTTCTGCCCGGATGGGAGGCTCTGTGATGGGCTGGACTGGGAATGTCTGGGCTGGACTGGACCGTAGACAACTCTGATTGCCCGATTTTCAACTACAAATCGATGCCAAAGGTTGATTCTGGCAGAGCTTTAATGTACCTCAAGCTTTTGTGAAGCTTCTGAGTAGGCAGAACTGCGGTTTCTTCAGTCTGAAAGGGCAGAAGTGGCTGTTCTTGAGGACGTTGGTGAGCTAGAGGCTATTCCGTGAATTTGGCTGGGGTTTTCCATACTTGGAGGAGATTCAAACTCTGCTTGTGTTGGTTTTTGCTGAACCAAATTTGTAACGAGAGAAATCTCGTTTTGAATGACTTGCTTCCTAAATCTGGATTCTGGGCATTCTGATCTGGAGCTGGTTTTTCACTTGAAATTCAAGTGGACTTGTTGGTTGACTCTGAGCTTGTTTATGTGACGGTTTACCTGTGTAGGACCTTTGTTTGGTTGAGTGATGAAATTTTTGTTGTAAGATTGATTGTGTTTTGCCCTGTTCACTCCTTCTTGTATTTATAAGAAATGTCTTCTGGAGTAGGGTAATTCTTTTAATAATGGGCGGCAAATCCTTTCAAAAGATCTTCCTTTAAAAATGGAAAAGAGAAAAAGGGGATTTCATCAGTTTTTGGTAGATAGGTTCTCAACAGATAGGCAATCACTTCCCTGATTTTCTTGAAATCTCTTTCCTAATTTCAACTGCCCCCTGCGATATTTTGCCCGTGATGGTTAGTTTGACCCCTTTTCTGGACAGCTTCCTGCTTTCCTGCTTATCCCTCTCTGAGATTGTAACTTGCTTATCTCCTTGGGAGAATTACCTTCTCTGAAAAGACAGGAGAAAAAATCTCTGAATATGTATATATATATATGTGTAAGAGGGATTTGATCTTCAGTTTTTTCCAGAATCGATCTTGATGTCATGAACCCTTCAATCACTTCTCCTATGACAGTTGCCATTGCTGACTTTTCTTCTTCCAGAGATGTCACGTGGGATTGTTCCTACTTCTGGGCTCCTTCTTTCTTTGGGCCTGTGAGGCCCAGATTAGTTTTGCTTGCTCTGATGAGCCTTGGGCTGCTCTCTTCTGGTTTTTTGGGCTTCCATCTTTCTTTTTTGTAGTTTTATTCCGGGCCCAATTTTCGCTGGGCTGGGTATGCCAATTTTTGGCCCAAACAATGCCCCCTTAAGTCTGAATCGTTTTGGAACGGTTTCAGACTTAAATGATATGGCCATTAAATTGGCACGTGGTAAACTCCTCCATTATCCCACGTCTGCCACGCTTCCCCACTAAGCTAGTGCCCGTGTGGCGCAGTTTTTCAGTTACTAGCTTTCATTAGCTAGTCAATATCAGGTGACGCCTTGTCTTCTCCACGTCGATGTCTTCTCTTTCCCACGTTTTCTGGCTTCTTTAAAAGAAATTTAAAAACCCCTGTTTCTGTTCATCTGAAAACCTAGTTCTTTCAAACTTGATTCCTGTCGTGTCTTCGAAATCTTCCTTTTGCTCGATCCTGTCTTGCCCTTCCTGTGAACCTCCCTTTTTAGAAAAAATAACTTCCCAAGAAATGTCTTCCCCGAAATCCCGTGCTCAGTCTTCCTCTATTCCAATTCTTCCCGACTACATTACTGGGGCTGGGATTGATAAGCATGCGATAGAGGTTAGGAGCAAGCTCCATCCTTTTGCCCAGAAAAACCTAGATGAAAACGTCCTTCATCTGTTCGAAAACACCTTGGTGCTGGGGCCTCACTGGTTTGGCCCCGTTCCTCCCGAGATGGCGGAGCTGATGAAGAAGGATGCTGAGGCCCCTCTATGCTTCGAGAGCTCCTCTGCTCTGGCTTCTCATTCTTGGGTTAGTAAGAATTTGAGTCGTTCGTTCCCATCCAGTGAAGTGAGAAACAGTCCAGTCAAGTGGGCTGATTGGATTGACAGACTTCTTCCTCGATTTGGGGCTCACTGGAAGCGGGCTGGAATTTATGACGCCATACTCCTATCCAAGCAATCTATCAACAGGGATGAGAACCTGCTTGCTGCTGCTCTGTGTTTCTGGAATTCTGCCAGTAACACCTTCGATTTTCGTATAGGCCCCATGGCTCCAACTCTGCTGGATATGGCTCAGATTTTTGGCTTCAGGCCTCATGGGAGGCCTGTTGATGCTGTTGGTGACTATCACAGGAAGAAGGACCAGCAGAAGCTAGCCAAGCCATTCACTATTTCCCCAGCCCTGATCAACCAGAATTGCTCCTTTTCCAATTATCTCAGGAAATTTAGTGCTGAGAAGGACAAAGATCAGCAGCATATGTTGTTCCTCCTGTATTGGCTGAACAGGTTTGTTCTGCCCAATCGCTCTTCTGCAGTTCTGCTTGAGTACAGACATTTGGCAGAGGCTCTGCATAATCATACTGATGTTGGACTCGGGCCTACAGTTCTGGCCCATCTATTCAAGAACCTGCATACCGCCACCCTGGAGTATCCGCTAAATCTATCTGCTCCTGGTGCTTTCTGGATGATTCAGGTCTGGCTGCAGGTCTATTTTCCTGAGCTAAGGTTTTCGGATATAGTTCTGCCTGAGGATCAGGTTCTGGCTCAACCATTGTTGTCGGCAGAAGTCCCCAAGCGATCAATTGATGAATACCTGATGATCTTCAGGCATTGTACCAAAAGGTCTGCAGCGCAGTGGCAGGTGGTGATCAGGAGGACCTATCCTTGGTTTCAGCTTGGACATCGTCTGTTCGAGAAGGAGCCAGAAGAAGAGTCTGCCAGGACTGACTTTAGGAAGAAGTTCCTAAGTGTGACCTTACCCAGAGATCTGCCTCATGGAGGAGGAAAGCCTCCAAATTATCATCTAGGGGCGGAGGTCTACCATCCCAACTTCTGTGCAAGGCAACTTGGCTGCCCTCAGCTTATACCCCTCAAGTCATACAGAAGCTGTAATCGGGGCTCTTCTTGGAGGGACGCAGATGACTTGGAGGTCCACAAAGATGCCAGGTGTGCAGTGAATAAGATCAACAATAGTGCAGATGCTCTTTATCCTTCCTGGGAATTGAACTCCTGCAGTTCTGTGGAGTTTGATGCCTGGTGGAAAGCCAGATTCCGTGATCTGCCTGCTTCCAGCACCGCACTTCAGGTCCTTTTTAAGGGCTGGGACAATTGGAATGTCCATTCAGACGACGAGACTCACAGATTCATGGTGCAGACCATCAAAGACGTCAATATGCAAGTTATAGAAGGTAATCTCTCAATTCTGTCTGTTGTTGCCCATTCTGTTTTTTCAATGATGACGCTGATCTTTTCTGTCTGTACTCAGATCCTTCTTGACAAAGAATATAGGCAGCCAACCAGCCAAAAGTGGAGAGGTGTTTGGTAAGTTGTGATACTTGTTCAGTTCCTCCCGCTACTCTACTGGATTTGACTTTTGACTTTTGTCTTCTGCACAGTTAATTCTGTTATTGCTGCTGGGGATCTGGAGCTGCCCTCCGGGGATGGAGAAGAGGAAGAAGAAGAGGAGGAGGATCAGGCAGAACAGACTCCTGTTGAGGTCACTTCTCCTGTTAAGAGAAAAAGAAAAGAGACTGCCCAGTCTGTGGCTCCAGGTATTCTTTGACGGTTTCCCTTTTTTGTTCTTCATAATCTTGTTCTGTCTTAATCTTTAAGACTTATTCTGTCTGTTTGCAGTTGGAAGTCCTTCTCCTCCTCTGACTAAGTCAAAAAGACTTAGAAAGAAGGTTGTAGAGGAATACGTGGCCCCGGAGGGAACTGGGGCAGTTCCTACCACCACCTCTGGCACGGATGATGATCTGAGAGAGGCTTTCGAAGCTGTGGAGCAAGAAAGGGAGCTGGAAGAGCTGGAAGAGGTAGGAGGGGAGCCCCAGGAGAAGGCCAAAACAGTGGAAGAAGATGTGAGTTTTATATACTTGGCAGTATTTGTTTCTGCTATGCTCTTATTACCCTGTTCTAACTTCTGTGCATTCATAGGAGGAAATTCCTGCTGAGGTGATAGCGGAGAGCATTGCCTTGGCTCAAAAGCAGCAGGAAGACGTAGGGGCAGGGCTGACCAACTCAGAGGTGGCCCTTTTTGACGATCCAGAGGCAGAACATTCTACTGCCGCTCCAGCAGCTGAGGACCAAGTGGAACAATCCGGATCGAAGCCTGGGGATCAGGCAGAACAAGTGGTTCCTGCTCCTGAAACCGTAGCAGGAGTGGCTGCTGCCGTTCCTGGGTTTATGGTGAGTTCTGTCCTTATTCTGTCTTTTTCCATTTCATGTGGTTTCGTTCTGTCCCTCGGTCCCTCTGACCCTCAAATCTTTACAGGTGGGAGCACAAAGAACTGCTGGGACCTTGGCGGTGAGGACCACCCCCTTGCAGCCTCCGATTGTTGCTGTGAGTGTTCTTTGTACTTCTATCTTCTTTTTGTCTCTGCCCTGTCCTTGACTTTATGCTTCCTTCTGCAGATGCCTATTCATTCTCTTGCAGGTTCATCTGCCACGGCTTCTTTTGCTGACCCGGAGCTGGCAGAATTTGAGGCCATGGACCTAGATGCCCAGCTGGATAAGTTGGAAAAGCTCAGCTCTCCTATTGGTAAAATAAAGTCCAGGGCAGTGGAAGAAGCAATGGAGAGACTGAAGATCTGGCAGTCTGCTGAATTGGAGCTGGATGAGGACAGAGAGGCCTTTGATCAGCTGATGAAGGATCTGGATCTGCTGCATAGACAGAACATGGCCCCAAGACCTATCCTTGAGATGAGCCTTGTCTTGGCGAGGGATGTGCTCACCCTTCACGACCGTTATGAAGATCTGAAGCCTACCTTCAAAACCTCCGAGTTCTGCAAGGCCACTCATGAAGCCAACTTGGCTGATTTTGCAAAGCAGAAGGCAGAACTGGACCAGATGGTTGCGGGGTATAAAGAAGCCAAAGCTGCTGGGGATAAATTGGAAAAAGAGATTGCAGAACTTCAAAAACAGCTGGCAGAGCGTCGGGAAGTGCAGCACAGGCTCGGGGCTGGATTGAGTTCTAAGACCAAGGCCACTTTTCTTGTGCAGAACATGGTTGCAGCTTCTAGGCCAGCCCTGGAGATTGCAGAAGCTTCAATTCATCAGGGTGTGCTGCTCCAAAAGGAACTTTTTACCAAGAAGACTAACCTGCAAGAGACTCTTAGAAAACTAGGGTTTTGATTTCGTTATCCTTTGCTTTTCTGAACAGCTTGCCGTGGGGAAGGCCCCATGGTTTATTTATTTTTGAATAAAGTTCATTTTATTTCTATTGATGGAACGAACGGAAAACAGAAGTAGGAGTACAACAAAGGGATAGACTGAAAGTAAATCTAAAACAAGGGTAACTTTGAAAGGACTCAAAAAGATTTTTAGTTAAATCTTGTGTCTATCCCAGGGTCTGTTTGTACAGCCTGCGAATCCCACATGGTTGGATAAAACTTTTTTAACCATTTGCCATTGATCGGGGCCGTATGGATTTCTCCATCCTTATCCTGCAACCTGTATGCCCCCATTCCAAGGATCTGGTTGATTATGAAAGGGCCTTCCCATGTAGGTGACCATTTTCCATAACCAGCCACATGTGTTCCAAGGGGCAGAACTGCTTTCCAGACTATCTCCCCTTCTTCAAAACTCTTGTTCCTGACTCTCTTGTTGTAGGCCCTTGATACAGCCTGTTTTCCTGCCAGGAGTTTGTTGAGAGTGTCAATTCTGGCTGCATCCAATCCTTCCAGTTCCAGCAGCATGGCCTGGGAGTAGTCTTCTCCTACTAAGTCATGTTGGTGAGCAATTCTGAGGGACTGAACAGCTATCTCCATAGGCAGAATTGCATCATGACCGTAGGTTAACGCATAGGGAGTCATGCCAGTCGCTTCTCTCTTTGAAGTTCTATATGCCCACAGAGTTTCTGACAGCTTCTCATGCCATTGTTTCGGATTCTTTTCAAGCATTTTCCTGATAATATTGATGATTACTTTGTTGCTTGACTCCGCCTGTCCATTGGCTTGGGCATAATAAGGAGTGGATTGGAGCAGTCTGAATTTGAATGCCTCTGCCATGTCCAGCATTTCTCTAAATATGAAAGATGACCCTCTATCAGTTGTGATTGATTCTGGGATGCCAAATCTTTGGATGATCTGTTCTTCTATGAAAATGATGATCTCTTGAGATGTAGTGGATTTAACAGCCTTGGCCTCCACCCACTTGGTGAAGTAGTCTGTGGCAACAATGATAAAGCAGTGCTGCTGGCTGCTGGCTGGATAGATCTTACCAATGAGATCCATTGCCCATCCTCTAAAGGGCCATGGTTTTACCACTGGATTCATGGGAACTGATGGAGCCTGCTGGACTGGACCGTGCCTTTGACAAGATTCGCACCCCTTGGAATAGTTAATGCAATCTTTCATCATGGTTGGCCAGAAGTAGCCATATCTCCTAATTAACCAGCACATTTTTCTTCCACCTTGATGTGCTCCACAGATTCCTTCATGGGTTTCCCCCATAACTTTCATGTATTCTTTCTTCCCGAGGCACCTTAAAAGCACCTCATCCTTACTCTTTCGGACCAAATCTTCATTCCACATAAGGTAGTTCAAAGCCATGATTCTGACTTTCTTCTCAGAGGGCAAAGTTGGATATCGTAGATAGGTCATGATAGGATTCCTCCAATCATCTTCAGTGATTGTGGCAGAGTTGACATCTATCTCCATCCCCCTGGCCAGAACCGATGGTAGGCTTTTCTTTCCTATCTTGATGATTCTTTGTACACAGTCTTCGGGTATTTGTATGCCTGTTGCCACCTGGGCCAATTCATTGGCTGCAAAATTTTCTTCCCTTGGGATATGTTCCCAAGTGGCCTCTCTGAATTCTGTCAGAAGATTCCTAGCTGCCACCAAGTAGACAGCCAAAGAAGGGCTTAGGCACTTGTATTCCCCGTCAATTTGTTTTAGAACCAGCATGGAATCTCCCAGAATTTCCACAGACTGGATTCCTAATTCTACCAGCATTTCCAAGCCAATGATTAAGGCCTCATATTCTGCCCTATTGTTGGTGCATTGGAAATCTAATTGGAAAGAGTAGCAGTGTCTGATTCCAAGTGGTTCTTCCAAAACAATTCCTGCCCCGGAAGTTATATCAGTTTTTGATCCATCAAAGTATAACTTCCAAGGTGTAAGATGAACTGAGTAGATAGGATTGTTGAGGCAGGTGTGAGCTCTGGTTAATAGATCTGCATTTGCTATGTCTAAAGAGTCCATATTTTCAATCTCCTCTCCGGGATGATCTGCTAGGAAGTCTGCCACAGCTTGTCCTTTGACGGCTTTCTGAGGGACATATCTGAAGGCAAATTCTGTCAAGGCCAAGGTCCATTTTCCAATTCTGCCTCTTAGCATTGGTCTTGTCAGCATGTATTTGATCAGATCTGTTTTGGCAATGATATAGATGGTGTATGGTAGCATATAATGTCTGAGCTTTACAGCAGTGAAGTACAAGGCTAGGCAAAGTCTTTCAATTGCAGAATATTTCCTTTCTACTTCTGTCAGAGTTCTGCTTAGGTAGTAAACCGCCTGTTCCTTTCCTTCCTTGTTATCCTGAACCAATAAACTTCCAATGGATACTTCTGATGCAGATATATAGAGCTTGAGTGGTCTGCCTCTCTTTGGCGGGGACAGAACTGGTGGATTTGAGAGGTAATGCTTGATTTCCTCAAAAGCTTGCTGGTGTTGTTCTTCCCACTTAAAGGTTTGTTCCTGTTTCAACCTTAACAAAGGAGAGAAAGGCTGGATCTTTCCTGCAGAATTGGATATAAATCTCCTTAAAAAGTTAATTTTTCCTAAGAGGCTTTGCAATTCCTTCTTGTTCCTAGGCGGCAAAGCTTCTATGATGGATTTTGCTTTGTTCTTGTCGATCTCTATGCCTCTTTGGTGGACCAAGAATCCTAGGAAGTTTCCCGCTTGAACTCCAAAAACGCACTTCTTTGGGTTCATTTTCAGTTTATGTTGCCTCATTCTGAGGAATGCTCTTCTTAGATCTGTCATGTGGTTTCCCTCCTCTGGTGATTTGATCACAACATCATCAATATACACTTCCAAGGAATGCCCTATCATATCGTGGAAAACAGAATTCATTGCCCTTTGATAGGTAGCCCCTGCATTTCTCAAACCAAAAGGCATTACAGTGTATTCAAAAGCACCTATGTGCCCTGGACACATGAAGGCTGTCTTGTGGATGTCTTCCTCTGCCATCATGATCTGATTGTAACCTGCGTTGCCATCCATGAAAGATAGCATCTGGTTGTGGGCAGCTCCATCTACTAGCATGTCTGCCATTGGCATAGGGTATTCATCCTTGGGAGAGGCTTCATTCAGGTTTCTGTAATCCACGCAGATTCTGACTGCCCCAGTTTTCCTTTTTAGAACTGGTACAATGTTAGCTAGCCAATCAGCATAGATGGCAGGCCTGATGAATCCTGCTTTGAGCAGCCTTTCTATTTCTTCTTTTACTTTCAGTTCCGTGTCCATGGACATTCTTCTTCTGGCCTGTTTGACTGGAAGGTATCCCTCTTTGATTGGTAGCTTGTGTTCTACCAATTCCCTGTCTAATCCTGGCATCTCGTGATAATGCCAAGCAAAACAATCTTTGAACTCTTGCAGAAGTGCAACGAGTTCATTCTTAAGTGGTTCTTTCAATAGTGCGCTGATGAAGGTTGGCCTTGGATCCTCCTCTGTTCCCAAATTTATTTCCTGCAAAGGATCTTCTACCTCTGGCAGAGAGTCATCCAATGCGGCTGGTGCGAAATCTAGCACTTCCTCCTGTAATTCCTCTTCCTCCTGGCCTTCCGTACTTTCATGAGTGAATTCCGCCATATTGATGGCTGGATTCTGTGCAAACAACTTTCTTTCCTCCCAGTATATCAACAATCTTTTTGTAATGGACCGGATTGTTGCAGCTCGATCCTTTTCTTGTTGATTGGGACTAAACATCAGTGCTCTGGAAATTTAGAACAAAAGGTCTGTTCCAATCCTCCAAAGAATTGGTTAGACCTTCTTCAATGAGTCTCTGGGCCGTGACACCATGGGGGCGGCCGTTCTGGTTGACTCCAAAGAAAGTGAAAGGACCAAGGTCATCATGATAGTACCTTGCCTCGCAACACATGGCAGAAGGTAGGAATGGCCGTGGATCGGCCTCTATTATCTCCATGTAGCCATCTTCGTTCCATAAAGCTAACTGTTGATGAAGAGTGGAAGGAACACACAGACTCTGATGGATCCAATCTCTGCCAAGCAATGCATTGTAAGTGGTGGAGGTGGTATCTACCACAAAGAATGCAACCTTCAGCTTCTTGCTTCCTACCAAGACATCTACATCCAGAATCCCAAGGGTTTTGGTGATGCCCCCTGCGAAGTTGGTGACGGTCAGGCGGGTTGGGATTAAATCCTTTTCTGTTCTGCCCATTTTGCTCAGCATTCTGTGAGGCAGAAGGTTGATGGCTGCACCTCCATCTACCATGGTTTTGGGGATAGGAACACCCCCAAAGTTTGCTGTTATAAACAAAGGTCTGAGGTGGTTTGCCATTTCTTTGGTTGGTTTGGAGAAGCAAAGGGGACCTGTTGTCAGCTTGTGGGTTGCTCCTTCTATTCTGGGATTGCCTGTTTGCTGTTCTGGCATTTCTTCCGTTTCTGCCAACCTGCATTCAAAACTTTCTTGGGAAAATACGTCTCCGTCCAGAGTGCTCTTCTGTCCTTCTACCGCCCAGAACGTTTCTGGCAGAATGAACACCATATTAATGCCTAGGTCAGCACGTAACAAGTCCTCCAATTCTGCACCAAAGGCCTCAGTTTCCACATCCAACTCTCCGTCATAATCCATCTGCTCTCCATCATATTCCTCCGTCCATTCTCCTAGTTCTTCTGTCCCGAGGAGCGTATTCTGGTCATCTGTAGATGGCTCATAATCCAGCTGCTCCTCTTCATCTTCCTCAACCCAGTTTTCTTGTCCTTCTCCTGGAACATGATCAGTTCTTTCCTCTAGTTGGGGAGTTTCAAGTAGACCTCCTGAGGTGGAGGCAGGATGGATAGAAGGTTTCTCTGAGGATTCTGCTTTTGTCAACTTCTGTAGTTGAGAGATCACTTGTTCTGTCTGGGGGAGTATTTCTGGTTCTTTCCCTTTTTTGGCAGAATTGGCCT